AAAATAAAAGGGAAGGTAAAAATAGGACATACTCAATAATTTAAAATTTGCATTATAAACCAATGTTATAATTGACTAAATAAGTTATTTTCTGTTAGTAAAACTAAAAAGTAAAATCATTCTATCCCGTGCTCGCCACAGAAAAAAATATATCAACTTCATAATTTTTATTATTTTTCATATGACACCAATATTGAATATATAAAAATACAAAATGATTTTAAAGTGCTAATTTATTATTATCATTTAAAAATAAATATTTTTTTAAAACTGTTAAATTATTTTTGAAAATAGATATGTAAAAACTGTTAAATTATTTTTTTATTTTTATATATTCAATATTGGTCTCATATGAAAGATAATAAAAAGTTATAAATTATGGTATATTTTTTGTAATCATAAAAGTACAAATTAAAAAATTATATAACTTTAAAATGAATATGAGATTTTATTTTTTGAATTACCTAGCTTTAAGAGGTTTTCTAAATTAACGTTAAATGAGTTCTAATCTACCTTTAACACTAATTAACGGAAGTATAATTGATTTACTAAATTGGAAAGAAGATCTAAAATATTATAATCAAAGTTTCCTTAGAAGGTGACACATGGCAAAACTTTCCATAATTGTATCTTTGAAATATTTTATCTATAGATAACAATAATAATAATAATAATAATAATATAATAACAAAATACCTAGAAGGTTCCATACGAGTATATAAATACATGTCATCGGCCAAACCCTAGGGGCGTACGAACTCATACACGCTTGAAACGTCGGCTAAACGACGCCGAACAGAACATCCCCGAAGGAGGAAATAACGTAGGAAATAACGTAGGGAACAGAACATCCCCGAAGGGGAAGCCGGAGTTGCTTCCATTGGACCGGACCGCTGCCGCCGAACGACGCCGCTCTTAGAAGGAAAGGTATCACGTCGGGTGCCGCTGCGTAGTTACCGGACTCTTTCACACCGGAGTTCCGCTGCTGATCAAGTTTCCACGCCGAAGGGAGAAGGAGCCGAAGTCGCTGCAGCTGCTGCGCCTGGCCCTGTGCTGAATTGCTGAGAAGACGACGACTGAGAACAGTACATACGTATTCCTTTCTTTCCTTTCTAAAGAAGAAGAAGAATTGATGCTACGTACTATTTAGTTATTTTTGGCTGTACCTAGTTATTATATACTCCTGGACCGAAGTGATTAAGAAATAATATGGACTGGCCGAACGGTTAGTAAAAGATAATAAAAATAATATAAAATAATAATAATGACGGAAATAAATATAAGTCATTATTGATATTACAATTTTAATATTCTTAAAAGGTAGATGAGCGAGGAGCAAAGTAGAAGATTTCACTAGAGTACTTGAAGTTTGAGGTAAGTTTCACGTCAACCAAAATTATACCTTTTGCTTCGTGAATCTATTTATGATTATTCATTTGATTTTATTTGAGTACTTTGTGAGATTTCTAGCATTTACAATTTATACTTCGTATTTGAGTATTTGGAATTATTTATGGATTGTTATTGAGAATTATATTTGAGATCTCAGTATTGGATATTGGATGATATTTTCGAGTATTTGAGTTATCATATGAAATGTTGTTGGGGTTATATTTGAGATCTGAACTATTTATGAAGTATTCTATATTTTGGCTCTTTCGTGAAATTTTAATGTATGGTACATTTGAGTGTAATTTGTTGGAGTTCATATTTTACATTGTGGATTATTTTGTGGAGTTTGGATTTCATATCCGTTTTGGTTGAGGTTGTGATATTGGTTTGGAACTTTGAAAATGAATTGTGATTTTTGGTGAGCACCCGGAGAAATCTATGGTGTCGGTTTGCCACATCCAGATAAATGTGGTATTGGTGAGTGGTAATGGCTATAAGTCTAAATCCACCAGGGGTACTCCCCAAAAGTGGAGTATCCCAGCTTAATCGTAGTGTAGTTGGTAGAAAAATCCCGACTACTCGGGCTTCTTACTTCCCGGAGGGCTTGGAATCCCTTTTAGGGGGTGTGCACACTTAAGGTAAGAGTTCGGCTTTCACTAGCTTTGATTGGGTTTGAGGTGAACGGGACTTTGATTGGATTGAGGTGATTGAGATTATTTGATTGGCTTGATTTGGACTTGAGGTGAATATTATTTGATTGGGTTTGTGGTGAATTAAAGTATTGGATTGATTGGAATTGTTGGATTACTGGATTGGAGTATATTTGGATTGAGTTGTTAAATTATTTGTGGGTTTTACTTTTGGATTTGATTTGGTTTGATTATGTTGAGTACTCTTTATTATCAGCATTTATAAGTATTTTGAGATATTTGGTGTTTGATTTATGCTTTGGAATTATTGTAATGATTTTTGGTGGTTTTACGTATATTTGGTATTTTTGTAATTTTTGTGGTTGGGAAATATTTGCTTATATTTGAAGTACTATTATTTTACTAGTGAATTATGCTATGAGAAGATTTTATAAATTGTTTTTTTTAAAAAAAAATATTTTTCCTCCTAAATGTTTTTTCAAAAACATTATATTTTATTATTTATTATTTTATGGGGTTAGGTGGAACTTACTTAGCATTGTTGCTAATTTTTGTTTTCTTTTGTTTTTCTTTCTGTACTTGATTTTGTACAGGTGACGCTTTGATGATGATGTTGATTTCGAGAGAGCTTCCGCTAGAAAACATAGTTAGTAAATCATTGTAATTCCATTTTCAATATCTTTAGTTAGTGAATAATTATTTTTGGAGTTTAAATTGTTTTAGCCTGTGCACTCGGTTAAGGGAGAATCAAGTGTGGCGGTAACGCCCCTATTTCCCTTTTGGTTTTCCGCTGCCTAACTCTGATGTTTTCGAATAAAGTTAAAAATTTTTGTGAATAAAGTATTATTTTTGGGTGGGAAATTCGGGGGTGTTACAAACAACCTGCTACTTAGTCAAGTCTTCAGCAGCATGCTGCTAGATTAGGTTACCAATAGCCTGCTGATTATTACTAATAGTCCTCAATCACTTCAAGAATATGTTTATTGTTGTCTAAATCATCTCTTCACCAAACTAAAATGGTCATAACCTATCTTACTATAAGTGTCACACTATATGAGGTCAAGACCTCCGCTATCAGTTTTAATGTCTCCCAAAAGACTTTGGAACTCGCTCTATTAAAGGAAAAACTGTGAAAAAACAAAAATGTTTAAAAGTCTATTCATCCTTCCCCCCTCTAGACTTTTACCTCACCAGGGACCATCAGACGATCAGAAGCACCCACCAGATCCATCTTGGTTTTGCCTTCTTTTTTGTCATAAAAAATCGAATTGCGACATGGTCGTTGTAAATGATGACTATGGTCCCGAGTAAATATGACCTGAACTTTTCAAGTGCAAAAACAACGGCTAGCATTTCCTTCTCAATGGTGGAGTAGTTGTGTTGTGCATCATTTAGGGTTGTGAATGCATACTAGATGACGTGAGATGCCCGCCCTATCTTCTAGCCCAAAACAGCTCCTACTGCGTGATCACTTGCATCACACATGATCTTAAAGGGAAGAGACCAATAGGTGTTTGGGGGCGGTTACAAGCTTTTCCCTCAAAGTGTTTAAGGACTTCTTGCATTCGTCGATGAAGATGAATTCCACTTTCTTTTGAAAAAGTGTGCGTTAAGGAGATGAAATCTTTGAAAAGTCTTTAATGAATCTCCAGTAAAAAATGGCATGCCCAAGAAATGAAATCTCTCGAATGGTGGTAGGCACTGTTCTAAAAATCGGCCTAGTCAACCGATTAATCGGCCTAGTCGGCCGCAACTGTAGAGAACTAATCGGCCTAGTCAACCAAAAAATCGGTCTAATCGGCCAAAAAATCGGCCTAGTCGGCCTCCTAGGCGCTAGGCGCTCCTCAACCGCCCGACTAATGCCTAGCGAGTTTTAGAACAATGGTGGTAGGATAAGGTAATGATTAAATTACGTCAATTTTTGCTTTGTCCACCTCGATCCCCTTTTATGAGATCACATGCCCAAACACACTCCCTGGCTCCACCATAAAGTGGCAATTTTTTCAGAATTTAAAACAAAGTTTGAGTCAATTCAACTGATGGGGTTATGAGACTAGGCTCAAAGCCTAATCGGCCCAAGTCCCGAACTTAAACCCGTGAGTCCAAGCCCGCGACCTGAGCCAACAAGCCCAAGCTTGGCTACAAGCTCAGCCGGGAGCTTGCCTACCAACCCGACGAAGAGGAAGCTCAAGTGTCTGATCTGCCAGCCAGGAAAAGTAATGGTTGAACAATTAATGCGTTGTTTAATTATGTATTTAATTATGTATTAATGTTGTAAATAATTAGTCATTATTATTGATAGCAGTTAGTATTTGTAAATGTCTATAAAAGGCAAATCGAATTCCAAATGACGGACATGCTATTTTTGGCAATGGACTTGGGGTGCAAATCTTTCAATGGAACTATACAAACCAAGGGCCCAACTGTTCTACCTTGCCTAAGTCTACTAAACGCCGAGGGCATGCCCATGCAACTTCTCCAGGACTTGCTAAGTCCACTACAAAAGGGGGCTCGCTTAGCCCGCTAGAGCCGAGGGGTGATCAAGAGGTCTATTGAAACAGGCTTGAAATTTTTCTAAGCCCACAAAAGGGATCTCTCGGTCACCTAAAAAGGGAACCGCTGTTCTCATGAATGAAGGCAGAATTCTATCGAGGGTTCATTGATGGATTCTACTTAGGAAAATTTCTAAGTCCACAATCATCAAGCCCCCAGAGAAACTACTGCGAGCCGGGGGCAACCTCATGCTATTCAAGAGGGGCTTCCGGCTACCCTTACCGGAGACCATCAAAGGAGTAGCTTTCCCGAGGGCTTCATTGTGGATTTTTTTTACTTGGAAAAATTCTAAGTCCACAAATATTTTGCCCCCAAACATTAGTGGGACAAAGGCAAGCATACATTCACACATACACAAAGCAAACATACAAGAAGGTGAAAAATAAGTAAAGGACGAAGGCTTCATAGCATAAAGCCCGAAGGCGTACCATTGGCAATTGATAAGAATACGAAGTTAAATGTACTTTGTTTACAAATGGCCGAAGCCTCAATGCTAGAAATCTACTACAAAAATATACTAAGAATAATTTCCTAAGTATCAACTCCTTGAGCATCCTCCTTTGGATTAGAAGCAGCATCACCCTTGGCAGCCTTGGAGGCAGCATCCTCTCCAGCCTCCTCCTCGTCATCCCCCGCCTCCATCATCAGCTCTGAATCCTCAAGGTCCGGCCTCTCTTCTCCCGGGGGGAGGGGAATCCTAACATCGGGCTGCCTAGGAGGAAGACCATACGACGCCGGCTCGAACTTCTCAATGGGGATGTTGAGGTGCCGGGCTAACCTCCGGTAGACAAGACACTGGGTGAAGAATTCACCGCCATCATAGTAATCTTTGCCCTTCCGGACCAACCACTCAGCTCCGGGACGAGCAGTCCATGCGTCCACCAAATGCTCAACAACCGAAGCCACCCAGTCGTTATGGGCCTCGGCCTTCCAGCCCTCAGCAATAAAGTCGTCGACGACGTCCTTTTTAGCTTGAGCGACGGCCTCCTGCTTCGAGCTCTCAGCGTCCTCAGCAGCCTTCTTGGCGGCTTCAGCTGCGTCCTTCTCCGCATCGGATTTCCCCTTGGCCCTCGCTTCGGACTTGGCATCCTCAACCTTTTTTGCCACATCCTCCCTTTCAAGGCGGAGGGTGTCCTGAGCCTCGGCCAACATCTTCTTGGCTTCGGCGAGCTCTTCGCCCAGCTTCTTAAGGCCTTCGTCCGCCTGGCCCTTGGCAATTCTCAATGCCTCCACCCTTCGGGCCTGCTCACAAACTCCGAGGGCAGCCTGCAAACGAATAGGGAACAGGGAACCCTCGGTTACATGAAGCCCTCGGCTGAAAGGGAGCCTTCGGCAACAGCACGCTCAGCAAAGATTCCTTTTACAGACAAGCGCCCACCGCATTCAATGCGGCGTCACGTCCAACCACCGCATTTAATGCGGTGCACATGCATATGCCGGTGCCACCCCGATTGAGGTGACCCTCGGCCGTTAGATTATTGACACGTATATTCATATCGCATTTATGTCTTCTATAAATAGCAGCCCCTTTCCCCTTGTAAACGATCCCAACATCTCGAGTTCAGTTAATACAATTGACTCTCTTTCTTACTTGCATGCTCTGACTTCTCTCTAGGTTATTCCCCGCAATAACCTCTCGGATAAGCTACCCCCAGGTACACTATCCATTAGGTTAGTTATATCATTTAAAAAAACCATGCTCTGAAGTATTAGTGAAAATGACATATTCCACTTTAAGTATTGTGTCTGGTGACTCTTTTGCATTACATTTTGAGCATTTTACTTCTCATATTGGAAATTAATTGGAATAAAATCAGAGTATTGTTGAAGACCATAGAAGTGTTGATATTGCATAGAAGTGTAGTATCTATAATTATGCCAGTCTTTATTCCTATTCCAGTTATGTTCAAAGTATGCAAATGAGGGCTTAATGCCATTCTTAATAGAAACCATGACATTTTAAGTAGATTGATACAATAAAACTTATTTTATCAATAAAATAATCCCAAGAAAAAGGATATATGTGATAGTGTGTGCTTTAATTATGTACTTGAGCAGCATTTTACATTTGAGATGCTGAAATTTGAAGCATTAGAAAAGATTGGATAATGTGGGGGTAGGTTGCAGGTATTTACTTCTGCTACTGCTGTTAATGACTATGCTGGGAGAAGATGATGTACTTTTTACTTATACAATAAACCATTTGGCTATGAGATAATGAACTTAAAAATAGTTGAAGGTATTTTTACAGGTGATATATTTTTCTCTAGGCCATTTTTTCAGGGATTTTATATATTCCTCCCAGCCAAAGGAAAAGCAAACTTTATTTTCTTACTGCTCTTATTGGAATGTACTCTTACCTTGAAGGATCACTTAGGTAAATTGCTCTCTAAATAAGTTGTTATACGAATTGATGTGTTTCAGAGTTTTTTATGAAACACCACTCAAGTTAGGGAGTAAAGGGTTTCCTTTCCCATAGTTATTAAGTAGCTTTCTGTATGAAACACCAAACTTACTACCAAATAAAAAATATCACCACCTCCAGACTTAGATTTCATTCATCCAAATGTGTTCTAAAAACCGTTCAGTTGATTTATTGTACTTGGGAGGGGTTGCTATAAGCTCCCCTTAAAACTTATTTGGTCGATAAAATAATCCCAAGAAAAAGGATATATGTGATAGTGTGTGCTTTAATTATGTTTTTGAACATCATTTTACATTTGAAATGATGAAATTTGAAGCATTAGAAAAGATTTTGGATAAGTCAAAAACAAAACAAATTGGGGGTAGGTTGTAGGTATTTACCAGTGTTGTCAATCCCAGATAGCGGAGCGGAGCGGGCAGCCCCCAAAACGCTATAGCGGTATAGCGGATAGCGGGATGACCGCTATTTGGAGTACTTTCAAATATAATAGATAAGTGACTACTAGAAGCATATGTAATATGACTTAGAAATATTATACTTAATTATATAAAACTCCATCTATATAAATCGAATTGTTTACATTCTATACATGTCATTATTTGTTATTTGTTACTGAAACTAGATGGTTCTAAGTTTTATAGAACCATGTGGAGTACTTTCAAATATAATAGATAAGTAACTACTAGAAGCATATGTAATATTACTTAGAAATATTATACTTAATTATATTAAACTTCTTCTTTTATAACTACTGAAACTAGATGGTTCACCCATTTAAATTACTTAGAAATATTATTTAGTTTCATGAGTAAAATATAAGATACTATTAATAATTTAAACATCTTAAGTCAAAACATTGAGTCAAAAGAAGACTAACTAGACTTCATACGAAAAGAAGAAGAAAAGAAGACTGCAGGTCTGCAGCAAAGGTTGGAAAAGAAGATGTTGCAGTGGAAGATAGTCAGATACTACTGAAAGCAGAGGAGGGCAGCATCTGTCATTCCTGGAGAAGAAGCAATCGCAGAGTAGCAGAAATAGATGATGGTTGTTCTGGGAGAAGAAGCCATCGCAGAGGTGCCACTGACTATTTTCAAAAGCTGGCTTTCTTTTGAGCTTTTAGTAGCGTTTAACGTACGTGTATGGGTTTTAATTAGGTTAAAATATTGTTTTAAAAGTCTAATTTAACCCTTCTATGTCTGCGCTAAAAAATCTAACGCTAAAATCCCTCCCAGAAGGCTCATATTCTGCGCAGTACTCTGTAACATAAAACGCGCCGCGTTAGCGGCCGCTATTTTCTCTCCCGCACCTGCGCTATAGCGGGCGCTATGGACGCAACACCCAAACGCCACGCTAGAGCCCTCCATGTAGCGCCTACCCTGTCTGCCGCACCGCTATTCCGCTATAGCGCGCTATTGCGCCGCTATTGACAACACTAGTATTTACTTCTGCTACTTCTGTTAATGACTATGCTGGGAAAAGATGTTGTACTTTTTACTTATACAGTAAACCATTTGGCTATGAGATAATGAACTCAACAATAGTTGAAGGTTTCTTACTTTTACAAGATGATGTATTTTTGGTCTGGCATCTCAAAAATGTATTTGATAAGGAACCATTTTATGAGATAATGAGCAAAATAGTTAAAGGTTTAGCTAGAAGACCAAATTCATATTTACTTATTAAAATCTCACTATCCTAGCAGCATCCCCGCCATATGTCCCACCTCCACCACCAGCTAAAACTGTTTTGAAGTTGTTATCAATAGCCTCTGCTTTCTTTGTATTCTCTTTTCTATGATGTTATCACTTTTTAGATGAATCAGATCTAAAAAGCACTGTAAGTGGAACATATTTTACTTTATTTCATGTTTTTCTTTTGATCTACATTTGTTATAAAAAGGTTGATAGATGAGCTTTCTCCAGGCAGAAATTTGCGGTCTTGGCCAGTCCAACATAAGAGGAATAATGCAAAACCAGATAGGAAAATCACAAAGCTGGGTAACCTGGGAGGATAGTCTAGCGTGGCACGTGAAAATAGAATTATGATTCACCTATGACTGCCAGACTTGAGATAGAATAATTGTAACACCCCGGCCCCGCAGGACCCGAGGTGGTTACTCGGGACCCCTAGTACTCTCCTCACAAACCGCCACTAGCCCCGTGCAAGCACGCTTAACTTTGGAGTTCTTGGGTGATGATCTCCCTAAAAGGAGATGCACCTCTGTTGGTATGAGTAGTACTATTAATCTATTTATATTAAATCTCAAGTGTTACAATCACCCTCACTTAGGATCGCAACGTCCTCGTTGCGCCCATAAACCAATCTCAAATCTCAATCCAATCCCAGAACACTCCCCCGCTAAGCGCCCGTCCGATATCCAACGGGTCAGCACACTGTCACAGGGTTGCTTTGATACCACCTGTAACACCCCGGGCCCGCAGGACCCGAGGTAGTTACTCCGGACCAATAGTAATGTCCCCACAAACCACCACGAGCCTTTACCACGCATGTTAGAACTTTTATTGTGAGTCAAGTTTGTCTGTAATGTCTTTTTTAATAAGGTAGACTAGTTATACCATTTATGGTATTAGAATAGTAATCATTTTGTAATAAATGGGTTAAAGGGAATAAGGCCCAAAAAGGCCTTGGCCCAAACCTCAAGGTTTACCTAAATCGGTAACCTGTACAGCGCCTATAAATATGCGCCTTGTGTACAGGTACCGATATCGATCAATACAGCTCTTAGCCTTACGCTGTCAAAATGGTTCTCGATATAATAGAAGAAGAATTTCTCCGTTCTCGATATTTCTTTATCATTATCAGATCTTCTTTCTTTCTGTTTATCGATGAATATCCATCTAGCTGATCGTTAGTCTGCATATACTGGGACCAACAACTGGTATCAGAGCCTGCTTGAGTGTGATCGCCGAAGAAAAAGTTTTCGAAGTCTCTCTGTTTTCATACTTTTCGATATTTCTCTGTTTTAATCATTGTAATCCTGTTTCTGATCGATACACTGTAAAAGTTGTACCATTGGACTCGTTGTTCAAAAACAAACCAAGGGTATATCTTATCTTTCGATTTCAGTAAACTTGATATTTTTTATTTCTCGATAGTATGAGTTCGAAAAGCAGGGTTTTCGACATTTAAGCAGGGTTTTCATGCTGAAAACTCTACAGGAAGAATCTCGAGATCGAAAACTTCTCTGAAAAGTTGTTTAAACTTTTTAAAACTGAACTTTTGATTTGCAGGATCTCGATACTACGTTCTCGATACGAGTTTTCGAACTGAGTTCTCGAGATTGCGTTCTCGATACTCAGTTTTCGATACTAAATATTTGAAACTCTGTTTTCGAATTGCAGGTTCTCGAAACAGCTTCTCGACACTCAGTTCTCGAAACTAAGTTCTCGAACTTAGCTTCTCGATACTGAGTTCTCGATACAGCTTCTCGAACCCAGCTTCTCGATAAACAGGTTCTCGATATTCAATATCGAAAATTGGTTCTCGATAGAACTTCTCGAACTTTAGTTTTCGAACTATTTCCTGAATTAGGTTTTCGACATTCTGCACCTTAAATTTTTTTCTGATCAAAACACTCGACCGATCTTTTAAGGCTCAAACAGCAAAGATGGAAGCATTACCACTTGGAAATGACAACAGACCACCCATTCTCAGAAAAGGAGAATATTAGATGTGGAAGACAAGATTTTTGAATTTTCTGGAAGGGAAAGACAATTCATCTGCCATGCTTGAGTCATTCACACAAGGACCAACAACGCACTTTGTCCTCACTCATGCGCGCCGTGAGGAACTTCCCTAGGGTCACCAATCCCAAGACTACTCTTGTTCAAGCACGTTTAACTTTGGAGTTCTTGGGTGATGAGTTCCCTTAAAAGGAAATGCATCGAGTATTACAATCACTCCTACTTAGGATCGCAACGTCCTCGTTGCGCTCTTAAACCAATCTCAATCTAACCCCAGAATCTTTTCCCCTGCTAAGTGTTTGCCCGATATCCAACGGATCAGCACACTGTCGCAGGGTTGGTCTGGTACCACTTGTAACACCCCAGCCCTGCAGGACCCGAGGTGGTTACTCGGGACCTCTAGTACTGTCCTCACAAACCGCCACTAGCCTTTATCACGCTCTTTGTTCTCACTCGTGCGCCCCCTGAGAAACTTCTCAGAGGGTCACCCATCCCAAGACTACTCCCGTGCAAGCACGCTTAACTTTGGAGTTCTTGGGTGATGATCTCCTTTAAAAGGAGATGCACCTCTGTTGGTATGAGTAGTAGTATTAATTTATTTATATTAAATGTCAAGTGTTACAATAGTATTTATTGGAAATTGGCCTAGAAAATTGAGGTTTCTTTATTGTATTCCTATTAAGTGTAAACTAGATCCTCAATTCTTATTTCCCAAGTTATCTTTCTTTTTCATAACAATGAGAACTTTAATCTTTTGAGCATGTAACTATGTTGAGTATCTTGGTAGATATATTATTCTTTTTCTAAAGAATATACCTAAGAGAGTTTACATTTTTTATACTCTCTCGCATTCACACACTAACTTATATGTTAATAATAAGAGAAATATACGAGTATTTGATCTTTAAATTTGTGTATACATGCATATATTATGATAGGGTGCACAGTTGTATGTTGTGGGTTCGAGGATGATAAATCTGTTTGATTTAAAATTTGTGATATTCGATGAAGAAAAATGAAAAACTACAAAGAAAATGTTGTACACAAAGTCTTCAACAATGTAAATTTCTGCTTTATTAACTTCTAATGTTCATCATTATTTTTTTACAATTTTTCTCTGTATGGCGACGGTCGGACAGACCTTCTTATATAAGGACTTATTTGACCCTTTTTATGCCTATGAATCTGACCCTTACCTGGCACCAAACTATATCAGTCTATGTGGATTGATCTGGTTGGCTCTGCCAGAATACGAAGACAAAACAAGCCGGAATCAAAGGTCATCGAAGACGGCTTCCTATAGCAACCGTGGCTGCATCAAGCCAAATACAACGGCAACGCCAGAATCTCAGCCGTAGGAAATCCGCACCGCCGTCAGTGTACTGTGGATCCGATACCCCCGTTCGGACATTCCGTTTTGGCAAAAGACCTGGTTCATAGTAGTGTTGTTGGTTATGGCGCTCTCTTGCTTCCCCGTCGCTACCGTTCTCCTCCTCACCCTCGGGTCCGATTACTCCATCATCCCTACATCCGCCGCATCTGAAGGTGTCCAGGTAAGTCTCTCACCGTAACATTTAGCAGTTCCGAGCATTAAACTGTCAAACCGTGAAGTAGTTTTACTAAGTTTCCGTACAAAAGGGTTGCTTTTGATTTGATATGAAAAATTGCACGCGTAATATTGGGGAGACTCAATTCATTGTTTCTCTAAGCAATGTTTTTATTTTCAATTGTTTGATTGAATTTTGGAATCGATGTGAATATAGTGCGAATTTATGTGGTTCCTTTCCTGATACGGAATCAAAATTCCGAACTTCTCCCTGCGGCTTATCAAGTTTGGACATGAGACATAAATTAAGAAAGTGGAACGGTGTGTTATACGCCACTTAACTTTTAAGGAAAAATAGGAAAACCAAAACGGGAGGAGAGAAGTACGGGATATAACCAATGAAGCAATGTATTTTGGCAGAAATTGTTGGTGTTTTTCATTCCGAATGATTAAGGACGGTATGTAATTGTTTTGTAGATTACTTACGGGTCAACAATCAAATTGATGCATGAGAAGACAAAGGTCCGGCTGCATTCACATGATGTGCCATATGGTTCAGGCAGTGGGCAGCAGTCGGTCACAGGTTTTCCTAGTGTAGATGATGCTAATAGCTATTGGGTAGGTCACATATCGCTCCTCTTAGGGCCTGTTTGGCATATGGTCATTGGCTGAAAATATGAAATTGCTAAATCTCTTAAATTTTCTAAAAGGAAAATCATTTGATGAAATCTGTCTCAACCAAATAATTAAATAATTTAAGTGATTCTTTGGTATCATTCTGCTGGTAAGCAAAATAAGCTGATTAGTGCTACCAAACGGGTCCTAAATCCTAATCATACAACAATAATTGAAGTTGATGATATTGGTCTTTTATTCATTAGGTTGTTAAGCCTGATCCAGACTCTTCTGCAAAGCAAGGAGATGCTATTAAAACTGGGTCTATTATCAGACTGCAACATATGAGGACTCGGAGATGGCTGCACAGCCACTTGCATGCATCTCCAATATCCGGAAACATGGAGGTTAGTTGATCAACATCCATGCATTCTTTTGGTCTTAATAGAAGCTATTTTGGCTTAAGTTGATGCACAGCCACTTCCATAGCATATTTATCACTTTTTTCAATACCACTCTAGGTATTCCAAACTAGCCCTCAATGCTGTGGAACTGCAATTAATTAGAGAAATATGCAGGTGAGCTGCTATGGGGATGACAACAAGTCTGATACAGGGGACTTCTGGAGGTATGGGGACTAACATGGAAGTAGGAAAACACGGTGACCTCCATTTTTTTTACTAACCCTCCCGAATATGTTATGGATTAATATTCTAATCTTTTTTTAAAATTCTTTTAAAGGCTTGAAATAGAGGGAAGTGGAAAAACATGGAGGCAAGATCAAAAGGTCAGGTTTCATCATGTGGATACTGGAGGGTATTTACACAGCCACAACAAGAAGTACACCCGCATAGCTGGAGGTCAGCAAGAGGTCAGTAAGGGTTCTTTTCTCTATATTTTAAGGGGGAAAAAGAGAAATGACTAACGGGGTGTATTGATTTGGGACATTTTAAAACATTTAGAGATTTGAGAAATTTTAGAACATTTAGGGATTCTAATAGACTTTTCTGTACATATGTGGACTTCATTAAAACATTTTGGGACATTTTAAAACATTTCGGTCTTCCCTAAGTCGACCTTGAAGACAAGTTGGGGTAGCTGTGATTTTCGTTTCCAAGGAGAGTCCATTTCCCAACTGAAAATTCGCTTCGGCTGTGCCAATCAAGCTTCCTGCTCACGGTAGCCTCTTTCGGATCCGGAAGCCAAGCCTTTGGATCGCTAGCCCGTGCCTTGTTCTTCCTCGCGCCAGAGATTGCTCTGCCACGACCGGAGTTTTATCTGTGCCAGATCTGGTAGCGTACTCGCGTCCAACTTCCACACTGGAAATTTTACTCGGAAACGACGACAGGTACACCAGAGTCCAATCGATGCACATAAAATTGGGATTCAACGATGGAGTTTTGCAAGCGGTGAATTGTGGTTCTTCACTTTTGGGCTTTCCATGACTACTCTCGTAAATCTCATATATACACGTGAGACTTGATAATGAGATTTCGTAGTGTATTTTTTGAGTAAAGTCCCACCAAATCCTAATCCAAAAGAGAATCCAAAGTTTTGTTGATGTTTTAAATACACCATGACATTTTGAGAGTCTAAATGTCTCGAATGAATACCTCAAGACTTTGACAGTCCTAAAATGTCTTAAAAGTCCCCAAACAATACACCCCCCTTAAGAAAGTGATTGAAGAGAGAAATACGGTAGCTATTGTTTGTTGTTTAGTAGATGAGAAATTAAAAGGAAATGAAGAGAGTAGAAATAGATGAGCTCATTTTGATAAGGTTAAAACTAAATTGATTGGGGTGACTGAATCAGCTGAATTGTTAAAGTTGCTGAAGAGAATTTAGAGACAAGAGTAATATCTCGAAGTACAAGCTTAAAGTTTCAACTAATCCATTGCAGTCATTCACCACAAATAGTCATTACTAGTCAGTTCAACCAACACAACAATAAGCCAAAATAAAGTTAGCAGTTGTTGAAATTGAAATTTTTGCTCATGCGGTTAGTAGCCAAAACTAAAGGCTACTGAATGGGGCTCTCATTCCTTTTATATGTTTCTCCGTAAGAGAAAAAATGAAGAGGTATGACCCACACACAAGAGAAAGACGGTTTGTGGTAAACCTATCAGCCCTTTTTATAGCTTTTTTCGATTGCTTTGGTTGCTTGACATAATCAAACGGCTATTATTTCTGTTTAGTCAATGAATTTTTTATTTGACTTTTTTTGTCAATTAGTCAAAAGTGAAATAGTCACTTTCAATAGTATTTTTATATTGGTTTTTTGTATGTGTTTTAAAACTCCAACCTACTATCTAATTCCACTCCTCTCGTTAACTACTTTATTATAATAATAAACAAAAACAAAAATAATAGCAAGCATAAATGAATAAATAATAATAGTAATAATTATTTTATTATCCATATTGTTACTCTCACTATTAGTATTAGTACTATTTAAATAATAGTATAAATAAATAAATAAATAACACGGTTATGTGTAATTTAAACTAAAAGTAAATAAGTAAAGATACATATATGTATATATATAAAATTAATAGTAATCTAACAATTAATAATATAATAATAATAATAATGACAACAACAAAAACAATATTAATAATAGCTCATGTTAGAAAAAAACTATTATAAAGTTTATTTAAACTTAATATACTACTTTCGTTCTTATTTAGTTGCAACATTGGTGAATTTTGCATAATATACTTAATTTACATTTTATTTGTTAATGTATTATAAATTAATTTTTTGAAAAATACTATTAAATTCCACTTTAAAATAAATCAAAGTGGAACTACATTTTCAAATAAATTAAATTGCTATGCCACTTTAAATTGTGCATTATGTTTATCATAAATGTGCAACATCATTAATCAAGATGTGCATCGTTGTAAGTCATTCATTTATCACGTGAAAAACCGTAACAGTTCCCATCAAAGTCATATCATAAAAGAGGAAAGAAAATGAATTAGAAATTACTCCAAATAGGACTAAAACTATGACAAAAACTCAAAATAGGACTTGCTATGTATTTATTCCAAAATAGGATCATATTGGTCCTATTGAAAACATACCTATTTTTTCATTCCATTCTTACACCTCTTTTAAATATGAGTAAAAGATAGTCAAAAGTAATAATTACTCCGTATATGTTTAATTAATAATAAATCCGAAAAAAATTCAAAGATTCATAGAAAAATAATTAAAAAATCAATAAAATATTTATTGATAAAAAAATTTTAAAAAATATTTTTTTAAAAAAAAAATTAATAAAAAATAGTAAAACTCCATGATAAAAAATTTAAAAAAATATGGATGTCTTTCCCACCGCTTGTACTATGTAAAAAATATGGTGGTGTTGGGGCAGCAGAGGCGGCTGTGATTTTTTTGTGTGTTTCTTTTTAATTTTTTTAGTTTTTTTTTAAATTTTTTTAAATTATTTTTATTTAAATATTTTTATTTATTTTTTAAATTATCTTTATTGTGGTATTTTTTACGATTTTTTTATAATTTTTTTAATTTTATTATGAATTAAAACATTTCAATAGCTATAAGGGTATATTTGTCTAAGACACACATAATTAGTCCTATGAAAACATAGTTTATTTTTTGGTCCTATTTGTGCAAAGTGAGTGACTTTTAGTCCTATTTTGATAATAACCCAAAATGAATCTGATTGTAACAATTATGCATGATTTGAAATAGAAATATGCTTGTCATGAATCACAAAGTGCCGCTACATTTTTTAAATAAATTAAATTGTTATACCGCTTTAAATTATGCATTATGTTTATCATAAATGTGCAACATCATTAACCCGAATGTGCATAGTACGTTTTAGGTCATTCTCATTTATTACGTGACAAATCTCACCAAAAGCATCGCCTAACTAATCATAAGTTTATAAAGTTGCACAATAAAAAAAATAATATAAGTGCACTAAAAAAATTGGAAAAGAACAAAATAAACTAAATAGAAAATTGTAGTATTAATAAAATATGGTATATAATAATATAACCAAACATATCTATATTGAAATGACACGTGGGTAGACTTTTCTGAACATATCCATATTGGACTTAAGTGGTTTCAATTGAAAGCATCTAAAATATTATTGATAGTAATGGTGCATTAATGATTCAATGTTAACGTGATACCTCTCCATTAGTGGTTTGAAGTTGTGCATATTTGCATTTATGCCACCGTTCCACTTAATGATCTAATACCCTTGATTTGAGATTTTAAATGATCAACATTTATTCTTATTTCTCTCCTGAGAGAGTGTTCTCACATGAACCATATCCTATAGGGGTGGGTTCAAGTAAAAAGTAGTCTTCCCATGAAAAGTGAGAATAAATCTTGGCTTTCCATCACTTGAAAATGGATGGATTAGATGAACTTTAAACAAAAGAGATTATTTCAAAAAATGTGCAAACATTTACACTCATGCGTGTCAAAAAAAATTGTTAAATTGTTTCCAGCTTGTGCCCTTTTTATTTTGTACCGGATTGCACTTTTGTGCTCTACATGTGCACTTTTCGACTATTCTAATGCACATTTGTCACAATATTTTCAATAAAAGTTCTCCATAATTACAAATATGCCACCGCGTTTCCAACCTAAAAATTGATCTCTTCCATCCATTTTTTCACATCAATGGCCAAGATTAGTTCTTATTTTTCACCTAGGAAGTACTTTTTATTTGAACCAAACTCTATATATATATATAGGGGTGAGTTCTAATAAAAAGAGGTCTTCCCATGAAAAGTGGGAAGTAATTTAAGCCTTTGATTACTTAAAAATAGATGGAATAGATCAAACCTCACGGTAAACCAAACTGTGTAATACACAATAGTAAAAGTGCATATGTCATATGTAAGAGTGCACATTCAGCTCCTAAAAAAATAACATATTTCCGGAAAGGGATGCACTTTTGTGTTACTCAAATGCACTTTTTCTCCGTAGTCATGCACATTTATGATTTACACTATTGGCACCGAATTTTCTAATATTTACACTATTGGCACCGAATTTTCCACTTCAAAGTTGATCGGATCCATTCATTAACTCATTTTAACGGCTAAGATTACTTCTCATTTTTCATATAAGGAGTACTTTTTATTTGAACCTCCCTCTATATATATATATATATATATATATATATATATATATATATATATATATATATATATATATAGAGAGAGAGAGAGAGAGAGAGAGAGAGAGAATTGGGTTCAAGTGAGAAAATGATCTTAGGAGAGAAATGAGAATGAATGTAGACTGTTAGATTGTATTGTGTGAAATTGAATGTGCATGACGTGAAACTGAAATGTGCATAAAGTGAAATCGAAATATGCACCACAAAAGGTAAGGTACAGTGATATTATGTGAAGCTAAATTGTGCATTAGGGGAAATTGAAATGTGTACTAGGTGAAACTGAAATGTGTAGAATAAAAACTACAATGCAGTGGAATTTTTGTGTCTTTTATTCTGCACATTTCAATTTTACGAAATGCACATTTGAGTTTTACTTTTCATTCTACACATTTCAATTTCACTTGATGCACATTTCATTTTTATCAATTACACAATCATGAAGTCTAGTTTATCCATACCAAATTTCAGCTCAAAATTCGATCAGGAAGGTATTCAAATAATTTTTTGAAGTTGACTGCGTCAAAGTATACATATAAAAACCCAGTCAACTTCAAAAAATTATTTGAATGCCTTCTCGATCAAATTTTGGTATGGATAAACTAGACTTGATGAAGAACATGCTCAAAAAATTTCATCAAAAAATTCAATCGGGAAGTGCCCGAAATGTCCTCGGCCGGACGGCGGTTCCCGTCAGGCCGGCTGGACATGAAGTTTTCTCTATATATATTATATATATATAAACCGGTATGGTAATGTTATCAACTGGCCCTAATGGGCTAATTCACTCAATGTTTTACTCCAAACTCCTAATACTATCCATTGGTTAAAACCTAAAACCACCCCACACAATCCGAAATGTGGCTATTTAATGTTTGTTCGTAATGCAGGTTTGTGGTGTAAAAGAGAAGAAACCGGATAACATATGGCTGGCGTTGGAGGGAGTATACCTTCCCGTTTATGAGACCAAAAGCCGAGGCATGATTTGGGACGTCTCTCTTTAATTCACATTACTAAGTTACTTCATTCACAACATGGCTTTATATCTTGGGTAGCTCTAGTTTTAATTACACTTACGGTTTAACCAATTGAAGACTAGCACTTGCAGCGAAGTATGCTTAATTAATACGGACTGTGTAATATTTCAATCATGCACGTGTTTCAAGAAACATTACATACTTTATGTGGCAGTGTATTCTAATTTTGATTTCGAGAATCACATCTGAATGAAGATTTGTACTGTGTAAAGATTGACTATTTCAATCTTTAGGTGGATCACGGTCTTTAGGTGGATCCCGGTCCATGAAAGGTGAAGCCCGGAACTGACCCAGATTATATTGGTCCGGGCCCAGGTCCGGTCTTGGGCCAGTTCGGGCGGTTTTTTATTTGAAAAAAATTAATATTATAAATAACTAATGCCGTAGATTTATAATGAAATGTACTACCTCCGTCCCACTTAGTCCTGGACTCTGGCTGGTTCGGGTCGGGTCGGGCCGGGCCTAGGCCCGGTCAGGCCTCTGGTCCTGGAATAGGGGGCCCGGAACCGGCCCGTCCTTTGCCCGGTGCCAGTTCGGGCCGGGCCACCCGCCGGGTTGGGTCGGGCCAATGTAATTTTTTTTACTTATTAATACAACTTAAATATAAAATACATTTTTCAAAAAATACTAATACGATAAATTCTAAGTTGTAAGTTGTAAGTTTGTAACCAATTAATTAATTAATTTGAGAAGTGCTACATAAAAAAAAAGAATGTATATTTATTTGAAATATGAAGTACCAGTGTACAATTTTACAAATTACAATAGAGAATTGAGGGAAAAATTAAAACATGAAATACATTCTATAATAAATTGTAAAATACTAATCAATCGGAATCTTCGGCATAGGAGCCATCCTCGGACCTCGGTTGTTGATTCATCCATAAAGTCTTGGGAGGTGGTGATGCTAATTTCTTGACATCTACGTATGACCTTCAACCAATCGTGGTAGCATATAAGCGTCTCAAGAGACTCAGCGCTCAAACTCGTTCTAGATGCCGTTAGAACGTTGCCGGCCGAACTAAATTCTTGTTCCACGGCAACTGTTGAAACCGACATTGATAGCACTTGCTTAGCCATCCGTGCCAAAATCGGGAACATTCTTTCTTTTGACTTCCACCACTTTAGAACGTCAAACTCCTCATTTTCATCAAATTCTACCTCATAATTTCTATACAAAGAAATCTCATTAAGTGCGCTTTGTTCAGTAGTGTGAGTTGTTTTAGGTTTTTTCATAAGATTGCCAAAAGCAGATTTAAAAAGTGATTTTCCTTTAGATGAAGATGTGTGTGTCGGGGGAGGGGACACATTGTCATATTGTGCACGAAACTCATTAAATAAGGCATAAAATAAATTACTAACCTCGTTGTATTCAACTTGCGGATCTATGGCGTTATCGTCATACATTGGAAATGGACCAAAAAAGCATTATAATAGAACTTCAAACATTCTTCCAAATTACCAAGTCTATAACGAGGATCGAGAATAAATACAATACTATAAATATGCGGAATATGTGCATAATATTTTAAAATTTTCCCTTCATAAAACCACAAAAATAACTCATGTAAGCGGCATTCTCAAATTCATTAAAAGCACCAGCGAGATTAACAACTTCACGAATAAATTCGTTTGAGGTAGGTTTATAAACATGACTAAAACTATCAGTTGCATTATTAAAATATATCAAAACATTACAAAATTTTTCGCAAGTGTCGATGTGAGCGGAGTTTAAAATATAGTTATCATATTGTCTTAAAAAGCAGGAAAATGTTCTTTATATCTAAGAAGAACTTTAATTAATTTATAAGTACTATTCCACCGAATAGACAAATCTTTAGGAAAAACAACATATTTCACACCTCTTTCAATCAAATAATTTTGTCATTTTAATTTAAGTTGACCATTGCCCCAAATACGTCTAATCCCTCACTTGACTACCTCCATAGCATCTCCTAACGCTTTTATACCATCTTGCACACATAAATTTATAATATGGCATGCACATCGTTGATGAAAAAATCTACCCATCAAAGTATTAGAACCACACAATTCACGCAATCTAGGTATAGCAGCAGTATTATTAGTAGCATTATCAAAACCTATAGCAAACACCTTATCAATCAAATTATACTCAGTTAAAATACGTTCAATCAAAATATAAATATGGGCACCCCTAAGTGTATGGCGGATTATGAGGGATGAGTTAATACAAGCAGCAAATGGACAAACAATAAATTAATTCTAGTAAGTGGGCTCGTACTTATTACTCTGAATAAGGACTCTTACAACACACTCTTCTACAGACCGCTCTGGGTTGATCGTCTAATCTAGCAATGAAATAATTGCTATTGCTAGAGGGAATAAGTTGTCTAACCCTTTACAATGAAATAAATGTTACTATTTATAATACCAAGAGGTAGATAATACTGATGATGTGGAGGAGTGCGAGTGGCTAGCTTCCGAACCACCAAATCTATTGCAATAAATGCGCTTCCCGCCAATATCTTGGTTTACCGCCAAGAAGTCTAGACGAGCGATCTCCGGATCTTAAATCTTGGTTCTGGCTGGGCACAAGGGAGAGGCTCCGCTCGGCTCATGCGGGCTACCCTGTCGAAGATCATGGATCGTCATATAGATCGTGGATCAAGTATCTCTATAGAAACGTTGAATAGGGCAGTAAAGCCTGTGTTCTCTTATTGGGCCTTAGACCCCTACTTACCATTTCATCACGCAACCTAACTGCCTTATCCAGTTTTCCAGCAACACAACAACCATATATTAGAATATCATAAGCCACCCTATCGGGCTGGACCCCACCACCAATCATGGACCCCCACAACCTTAACGCTTCCTCTAAATCACCTCCCCTACAGAATGCATTAATGACAGTGGAATAACTGACACAGTCAGGAAACATCCCTCTCTCTCTCATTTCAACTAATGTATCAGTAGCTTTATCAATTTCGCCCAATTCACAAAAACCCCGAATGAGTATATTATAAGTCACAACACTTCCAAGAAAGCCCTTGAGCATTGTGTTATGCAACTCCGCAGCTTTTTCTATCGACCCAACTCGGGTTAACCAGTCAAGAAAACAAGCATAAGTAAACTTGTTTGGCATCAAACCAACGGAAAACAACTCCTTGCAAAAGGCCTCAGCTTTATCAACTAATCCCACTTTGCACAAACCATTTATCATCACAGTGTATGTTTGCACGTTTGGAATGATCCCTTCACTCTCCATAATTTCCCAACAGCCAAACGCATTCCAAAGATCGCCGTCTTTCCCGTATGAATCAATGATGTTGGTGTATATCACATTGTCTGGACTCAATCCTTCTTCATGCATCTTCTTCAATATCCTCATTAATTGTTTCTTATCATGCTTTAATGCCCCGTCTATGAGTGCACCGTAACAAACGATATCCATCTTCATCCCATCAGTGGTGGCAAATGCATCTTTGACTCTTCTGGATATAAAGAGACCATGGACAAGAGCAGACAAGCACATCTGGATTGGTTTACAGTTTTCTCTTTTAAGATCTGCCATGATTTTTTCTGCCTCCTTTGCTTTGCCCAAAGAGCAAAGACCGGATATGAGTGACCTATAAGTGTATGTATCGGGGACAAGACCCTTCTCATACATTTCATCAAACAGTTGAAGGGCAATGGTTATGTTTCCTGCTTTACAATACCCTTCGATCATGACATTATATGTGATCTCATTTGGGCTTGAAACGTCATCGAAGATTTTTCTTGCCTCTCCAACCAAGTTGGCATTGCACAGACCAGATATGATCGCGGTGAAAGTGTACTCGTTTGGGGTGATGCCGTTTTTACCCAGCATTTCATGAAAAAGGCTAAGCGCCTTTTGTACTTCCCCTTCCTTGCAATACCCATCTATCAAGGATGTATACGTCACAACGTTTGGGGAGATTCCTTTATCAAACATCTTCTTCAACATGGAATGCCCTGTTTGGGGTTTTCCTGCCTTGCAATAGCCATTGACCAAAGAGTTGTAGGGATAAACTGATGATAGTGGCTCCGTGTCTTCCATACTGTTGAAGACCTCTATAGCGGAAGTCAGTTTCCCATTTTTGCACAGAGTGTCTATGATAACAGAGTAAGTTACACCGTTCGGTGCCAATCCATTCCGCCTCATTCTATCCCAAAGAATCATTACTTCCTTCAACTTTCCTTCTTTAGATAACAAACTCATTAAATTAGTGTATGAAACTAAACCCGGGACCGCACCCACATTCATTGCCCGATCCACCAAGGAAAAGGCGTCCATAATATCACCATTTTTCCTTACTAGCCCATCAGCCACAGCGGATAGAACACCAGGACTAGGAACTAAACCCAAATCCAACATCTCACATACCAAATCTCGGGCAATGTGGAATTGGAAGACTCTACAGAACCCAAGAACTAGGGTTTGGTATGTGACCACATCCGGAGTCAGCCCATTTGGACACAATGAGATCTTCACCTCAAGTGCCTCCTCTGCCCTCCCTCCCTTGCATAGCCCATGGATCAAAGTGTTATACATATTGACATTCAATTCATGACCATTTTTCTCGACGCATTTCACCATTTCCTTGGCTTTGTCAACTTCCTGAAGCTCACACCAGCTCTTGACCACGGCAGTGGACATGAAAGAGTCAGGTCGGATGCCTGAACACAAAACCTCGTCAAACAAACTGATAACCAATTTGTATTTCCTTATTCGGATCAATCCACCGAAAACAGAACCTAAGGTCCTAACCTCTGGAATTATTCCACAATCTTTCATAAGTCTCACAATCAACACAGCATCTAATAAGCTCCAATTCTGAACATAGCTCTGAATCAGTAAATCGAAACCGGAAGTGGAAGAAAAATTGAATCTTTTATAACAATTGAGAAGTTCATGGAAAACTAATCTGGGATTCAATCCTCTTTGAAGAAGGGTCTGCAGGAGAGAACAGGCAGGCCAGAAATGATTTGATTGTACTAAGGCGTGAATGAGGATGCAGAAAGATGCAATGGAATGGTGAAAGTTGGAATGAATGCCTAGAAAATTGAAGAAGCGAAGAGCTAACCTGGAGTCGTGTTGGTTATGCACAAGGACCCGCTCGATGTGGGGAGGTTTGATTCGGGTCGAAATGAACGGGTCGTTGAGGACCACTTTCCAGCTCTTATTTCCCCTAACGATGGAGTTTAGGGTTCCTATGAAATTTTCGTCGCTAGCGCCAATGCGGTTATGCTCTTCTTCTGCATTATTATAGAACGTGCAGTTGGGGATAAGCTTGGATTTGGGTCTGGAATTCATCAATGTGGGTTTAAGGGAAAGCTTCATCTTCTTCTTCTTCTGCTGCTAATATACTTACTAGTGGGCTGTACCTGGACTAACTCAAGAATCTGGGCGGCAGCTTGGATCCTAATTTAGTTCTAATCATATTACTCCGTATATCTCTTCCTCTCTTCGGTGCATTCAGATTTTACTGCATTCTATTTCTCTTGCATCAATACTGTCGTCTCCAGCATCAACAAACCTCACCCGCCACTCAATTTATACCTCTCTTTCCATTCATGCTTTTTTCTTTCTGGATACTTCACGTATAACTGGGATTTAAGTTTAGGAAGTGAGGGGAGGGGAACGAGGGTAACCCTTTCAAATTAGAGGTGGGAGTTTAAAAAATTAGAGAGGGGTTTGAATGACCTTTTGTAACCATTCAAAACATTTCAAATACTTTTTCAAATATTGTTTACTAATAGAAATATTTTCCATTTTTCCAAAAAAAAAAAGAAAACTGGAAATAGAAAAATTAGAAAACGTGTTTACCTAACCATTTTTTAAAAAATGAAAACCGAAACACATCTCGTCTTTTACTCATGAAATGGAAAACGACTTTTATGCGTTTTCACGATTTAGAAAACACGGGGCTACAGTTTCTTCCTTTAGAGCATCTCGAATGCTAAAACGTTAACGGTGCATACGTGGCATGAGAAATAACCAATTAAAAAACAATAAATAGAATGTTTATCTCCTTATTTGAAGGATCTTACATCATTTTGGTAAGTTTTTCTTCACAATGTCGAGCACAATGTCTAGATGTAGACATTTTGGTTGACATTGCAGACAAAAACTTTCCAAAACACATAAGACCGTGGAAAGAAGGAGAGAGAAATGTCATAAAATCAATATTTTGTGTCTATATCTCTCATGTCACATTGTAGCATTGGAGATGCTCTTAGTCGCTCGCCTTCCTCCCCTGCCTGTTCTCATTTGTCGCCTTAATTTCGCCTAAGCTTCCTCCGCCTACCTTCCTCGGCCTACCCTTTTTACATCTCCGCCAAACTGCCGCAATTTGAAGAACATATGTCCACTTTCGTAGCTATTTAACTCGCTGCAAAGCCTCGCCAAGAACACCGCTTCTCCACATCCTAGGTTCACCGAAGACCATCTTCCTTATCCACATGTCAACCACACTCCAGATTCACCAAACAGGGAATCGTTGCCAGGACCTGCACCCAACATCACGGAATCTCCCAAATCTTTGGTTGGTTCGTGTTCAGTCAAATGGAATTTTCACTTTTTGTTGTTTAGAATTGTAATTTGATTGGAATCCTGAAGAGCAATTGAGCTTCTTGATGCCTGAACGTCATACCCATGTGATATCCTAACATGTAATTTTTGGGTTGAACTTTCTCGCAATTGAGCCAATTTTTTAAGGCCCATTGACCTTCATTGTTCTGGCATTTTTTATCTGACTCTTCTTCAAGGGGTTTTAGCTTTATTTTTTGTTTAATTTCTGCAATTTATGTTGTACTACAATACCTTAGTCCTTATGAACCATGTAATTTTTGGGTTGAATTTTAAAGTGGATGCATAATGTCATATGACAATAATTACGAAGTTGGTGAATTTCATACTGTCATATGAAAATAATGTTTGATCTCACTTACTCACTTAGTTCTAGTGTCAGGCAACTTTGTATCCCTTACAAATGCATTAATTCCATGTTCCCTAGAGTATCCTTTCTTTCAGTGGTTATGAAAATGTTGGTATGATACGGACTTACGGAGTAACATTTATGCTAAGTTGTTAAACATGTAGAATACTGTTTGTATGATGAAGGTTTCAATGTTTAAAATAATCCATTTATCAACTTATCATCAAGAGTAATAATTAGAGAAGGCTAAAAGAATTATCTCACTTTAAAAAGCTTTTTAAGGATTTCTCAGTTATCATGATCAAAGCTTCCCTTTGAGTTTTCTATTTCTTCTACTTTGAAATTTCTATTTGATTTTTGAAGGCTAGCAGTTTCCCATTACTCTATCAGTGATTTTACATTGTTTTACTCCTATTTGGGAAAATCTTTTTCAAACATACAAAACTCCTCCAAAGCATTCTGACCAAAGAAGGGCTCAAGTGAAAGTTCTATGTATGAAATTTGTTTTTCCTTCTTCTTTCCAAAGTCTTCTGACCAAAGAAGGGCTCAATTGTTTTTTCTTCTTTTACTAGCTATCAAACTCTATCTTATCATATACTACGTAATAACGTAAATTATATAATTAGTCATTTTTACTCTAAATTCATTTTACAGGTCCTCGTAGCATTCTGGCTGAAAGCTTCGAAAGTCCTACGAAAATTGTTTCTTCTTCTTTCCAAAGTCTTCAGTCAGTTTCCCATTTTAGTACTCGATTTGATTTATCAGTTATCATGATGAAAGTTTCCCTTTCAATTATCTTGAAAGCTTTTTAAGGAATTATCAGTTATTACTTCTTTGTTCACTCCGACAGAATGGTGTCTTTGCTTAGTCTATAACTGAAGTAGTTAAGTAGGACTCTAGGAGGTTTTAGCTAAAATTGATGCATACTGGGTTAATAATATATTACTTCTAACTTAAGGCAAAGGCACTCTGGGTTAGTAGTTATTTCAGTTTGCATTTCCCCCCCGAAAGTTTGAGTTATTTGAGTTTGCACTTTGCTTACATGAAAATCTGAATAGTGGTGTGTCTAGTGATGAAACATCAGATGTTCAGAGTGAGTTTTCCAACAAACATCTTGAGAGTGAGGTTAATGTTGTACCTCTAAATGATAACTAGTAATCTCACCCGTGCGATGCACGGTTTGAAAATTTTTCTTTCAAATTTATGTGTGCTTAGTAATTCAAATCATACTATCAATTGATGACAACATCTATCTTCATGTAATACGACTATACATTAAAGCATCAAACGAAACACACTTATAATATTATGGTCACAATGAGATTACTAAGCATTACTTAAAAGATCAAAAACATCCAACAAATACGTTGAAACCATAACAAAATGTTCAAATAGGTGCCTCTACTATTTCTAGTATCCAAGTATGATATGATTTGTTTAAGTTTGGTTTGGTCTGAACTAAAATAAGTCTAAGTACAAACATATTAAGTAATATAGTGACTATGCACTTATACGAATTGCATTTTTTACACGAATTGTCCGGGTAAATTGGCAAATCAGGGGGTGTGCAAATGTGTGAAAGTGTGTTATGTCATTCTTGAATTATACTTGAATCTAAATTTGTGGGAAATGTTCAAATAGGTGCCTCTACTTTTTTAGTATCCAAGTATGGTCTGATTTATTTAAGTTTGGTTTGGTCTGAGACTGAAATAAGTTTAAGTATAATCATCTTAAGTAATATGGTGACTATGATCTTATACGAATTGCATTTTTTACACGAATTGCCCGGGTAAATTGGCAAATCAGGGGGTGTGCAAATGTGTGAAAGTGTGTTATGGCATTATTAAACAATGCTCAAATATGAATTTGGGAGAAAATGTTAGTTGAGTCAGCATATGAAAAATAATGCTATCATTTAAGCACAATAATTTTTGAAACACATTCAATAGGTAGAATATATTGTAGTTGTTAATTCAAAAATATGTACAACCATAGTGAAATTTATAGGGCGAAGTTTTACTCAAATTAGAAAAAAAAACATACACAATAATGAAGTTTGATGTAAAATGAAATGTATTCAATACGATTTACGAAGTATCAATGATTGTGGTGTAGCACACAAATGTGTATAGTCTAACAAAATAGTAACACTCAATACAAATATAATTTTAAAACAAATTACATTCTATGCTTGACTTTATGAAATACTTATTTAATTATATAGAAAATTCTTGAAACTAAAGGCCTCCACTGTCATTGTTTGTAATGTGATTGTTTAACGCTCGACAGATTGGTTACTCCTGACACAACCACGTAAAATTGACAATAACTACAAATAGGTGTTTTCAACAACAAACCATGCAACACATGACACCAACTATTTTTTTATTTTATTTACAGTTATGACACAATAAGTCATGACTAACATTTGAAGGTGTTAAGAAATGATCTTCCTCCATTCACGCCTATATCATTGCGCTCACCTTCTTCTTGGATCAATAAGAATTGATTAATCACAAAATTCGCTGACTTGACCGACCTAATATCTTTAGACTATATTTTTGTTTTTGTTTTTTTGACTAATAAATAAATGAGGGATTGCAGTTGACGTTTTTTGGCGCGAACACTGTTCCTCAGAAAATCTTTCTTTTATTTTTCAAGAGCTAAATCGTTGAGTATTTTGAGTAGATCCAAAAACTGAACCAAGGTATACATGCACTTTTTTTTATATTAAAGAAGGGCACTTTTATTAAAACGGACCCAAAGATTACTAAAAGGTTACAGATCACTGGCCTAATATAAAACTCAAAAAAAAAAAAAACAATAAAGGCACTAAAATGAAGTAATTGGGCTGCCCAAAAAGATCCTAGGCTCAAATGAAGAAGCCCAATATCAGGGCACCGTTAGCAGATCCGAACATAATACTCCCAAGTCCCACTGGCTACGTGTAACCTGGGGGTATTATATAATTACAAATAATATTCCAAATTAAATAATAATTACTCTTGAGATTTTAATATTTTTTTGACATATTCGGGTATCTTAATCTTGTGATGAATCCAGATTCCAGGCCAAAAAATGTGCCGATGAGCCTGTATATTGAACTGGGCCACTTCATATGATGCCTTTTTGCAGCCATAATACATCTCTTTTTTATGTACTCAAGGATGTCTGGGGGGGAGGTTGAGCACCCGGAAAAATTACGTCAATCTTATTTTTTCTTCTTATTCCGTATTAAACAATTTAGTATGCAAAATTAAAAGTTAGGGAGTATGAAAAAGTTGGGGCTAACCCGATAAATAAATCTAAAAACATCATCACACAATCTTAGTTTAATTGAAACCCGTCCAATTAAAAACAAATCCTAATCCTAACCCCCTACCAACCAATCTTATTCCATATGGGTCTTCTACTCGAATGAAGTGCCTTCAAAACATCTCACATTATCCCTTCCTCTTTTCGGCAACTTTTAGTACGTTTTACTTCTCTCCAACCAACTACAAAAAATCAGATCCACATTTCCTCACCAATTCTCAAGCAATCTAACCACCCCACAAAGTCGCGGACATATGAGCTTCACCCATTCCACCCAAACCATTCATGGTAAGAATTTGGTGTTCTTGCATCGCCTGCCAGTTTCATCTATCCTCGGCGCTTCAAGTAGGGCATCGGTTTCTGTCGAAGTGTCCTGTCCAGATGATAAACTTGACTACATGAGCATTTTATTCATTTATAGAGCAGAGGTAAGAAAGACATCATCCACACAGATGCATGTCTAGGGTAAAGTAGCTAGATTGTAGTCAATTTAGAGAATATGATCCCTCCCCTCCTCACAATCAGGTACCGAAGTTGATCTAACAGATCTGTATTTTAATTTAATTATTTTGTCTATTTTTAATTGCAACTTCTTTTATAAACAATTTCACTCTATTTCATTCCTAACGAATATGAAATTCTTTCATATTTCACTCTATTTAGGTTCACTGAAATTTCACTTAATAATTTTAGGGCTTTCAAAAATTTGACCTTCCGGATATACAGAGTAGTATCAATAATTCTAAAAACTATCAATCTCAAATTCTCAATGAACCTTACAAAAATATAATTTCGAGAGTTATATTTTTTAAACGTAATGAAATGACTGTAGCTGAAGATGTGTGTATCTGTTTGTGAACTCAAAAAATTTTAAATAATTACTTGTGTAGTAAACTTTAAGTTTCCGGTGAGCTTTATCATTTGTAGAAAGTAAAATTTGTATGGTTTACTTTATTCTTGCTCTAATATACTTTCTCCGTTCCTTTTTAGTTGCAACGGTCAACATTTCACACTTGCCACGTCTTTGACCGTGATTATATCTTAATCTCTATAAGCAAAAAATATTTAAAAATTATATTTTGAAAATTTGTAATGAGATGAATTAAACAATATTTTTTTTAAAAATAATTTTCATAAAATAATAATATAAAATGTAGTCAAAGTAGAACATGTGAATAGTGTAAAATTTAACATGTTACGATTAAAAAGAGACGGAAGATAGTACTTAATAATTTATGGACTTGTGTACTGTTGTCATTCTGTAGATTTGTTTGTAATACATTTTTATATTTTTTTTAATCTTCCATATAAATTTTGAAATAGATTACTTGACAAATCACTACAATAGTGTCTTTCATAAGTTCATATATCTATCGTAAATAATTGATTTAGCACATTCAAAAGTAAATATTGTCCTTCATCGAATGTCAATTTAGATGCAGGACTGAAGTTTCTTTAATATATGATTTTTAAACTTCATTTGTTTTTTATCCAAAAACTCCAAACTTGATTTTTTTGAACTATTTCATCTATTTATAATTCTGTACAAATGACCCATCTTCAACAAATTTCTTGTACCTTATTGTGCTTGTATTGTTCTTACCTGAAAAGATCATATGAAATATTATACAAATAGGTGAAACTAAACGTAATAGATACCAAACATATTGAGGAACTATAGTTCTTTGCATAAATACGCACTTTTGACCTGTTGAGAAACTAAAGAATTTACACTTACTCTCTTGCTGCAGATGATTTGTGAGGAACAATTTGCCACAAATAGGAGGAGTTATTTATATTGGTGTTGTGAAGGAGTAATGCAGGGAAAATGCGAGCCAGTTGGTTTCCATACTGCACAGTAGATTGTCAGGGAAAAATATTTGTTTTGATATTGAAGATATTGAAGATATACTACGTATCTTCGAATGAGATACATTAAATCGGAATCACTATGCCCACCTCCACTATTGACCAATAGAAATTTTTCAATCCAAAAGTTGCTGAGTCGCCCAAATAGTGTCAATAGTCCTCACCTCCCATATCAACCAATAGGAATTTTTTTAGAACAAAAAGAGTAATGGTTTGCAACTCAATTATTTCACATTATTTAGTTTTTATTTATCTTAACAAAAAATAAATAGTATCAATAGTGCTCACCTCCCACATCAACCAATAGGAACCGACGAATACCAAAATTGTCTAAAAACGTGACCTCCAATAGTTTTTGCAAATATTTAATTTTCATTTATTTTCTAAAATAACCAAATGAACCATTGATGTTGACAGTTTTCAGCGGGAATACTATTCACAAAAAAACTTTGCTTTTATATTAGAATAGATATGACATTTAGGGCCAATTTGGTAAGATTTATTTGTCTGAATTACTCTAAATTCATTTTTCAACGTTTTCTGGTAAATATGAAATGGAAATTGGAAACCTCTGGTAAACATGTTTTTTGATGTGGAAAACAAAAAACTGAAAAATGAAAACAGAAAATTGAAGACTTGAAAACAGAAAATGAAAACAAACCCTTAATTTTTAAATTTTCTCAATTTGGATTTTTTTAAGAGAAACCGGCTTACATTATAAAATCATACTCCAAACAGGTAACATCAAGACCACACCCTAGAAACAATCCAGTAAAACTAGAACACATAACCTTATCATACGCCCTCACGGTCAATCACCCAATTAGAAGCAATATGACCTGATAATCCACAAATGGGCAAATGTAAGTCAACCATGATCGATTTAGTATCCTTACCGCTTAACCTATTATGAGCTTGACCCATAACAAAGATAAAGACCACGCTCAAAAAAACAAAATCTAAAATCCTTATACAAGCGAAAAACAACAAAAACAAAGAACCTAAATAAATAAACTTTCGGAGAAGACTTAGGTGAGCCAGAGATCCACGCCCGCCTCTTCCACATTTTTTGGCTCATCCACAATCATAGCCCCTTCAACTAGATGTTCTTGTTCTTAGCATTCTAACACTCGCTTCCTCTTTGGCTCCCCCAAGCGTCAAGCAATTGTTCCTGTTTTCAAGGGTTGGTGAGGGTAAGCCGTCCAAAAAGAGGCGAAATATTTATTTGGGGTAGGATGAAGGGTGTTGTGGGATTTTGGTGAAATATTTATGTTACGATTACCCTTGAATTTGGAGCTATTTACAAAAAAAAAAAAATTAATGAAATTAACTTGAGAAAAGAAAGATGAAAACGGAGTGGGAAGGAGGCCCTCCCTCCATTAATTAATAGTTAATACAGGATAGTTTCCTTGTCACAAGCGAACCTTGCTCATTTAGTTGGATCATCATTCCCTATTTGCATACATTTCCAGAGGAGAAAAAGAGAAAAGAAGAAAGAAGGAGGCGAACGATGAGAAGGCCTCAATCTCTGCCTCTACTGTAAGTTCGTTCCCCTTGTTAACAAAGAAAATCAATCCCAAGTCCGAAGATATAATTTCTCACAAAATGCATTCTTCTTCCAGTAAACAACCCGGAGCGACTTTCAAGAACAGAGGAAAAGCACTGAACCATGATGAGCCTGATAAAGATGAAGACGCATTCTCCAGTGACATGATGATTACTTGCATGCCAATCCAGAAACGCCAACCCTACAAAAGATGTAAGAAATTTCCAACTCTTTTTGAAATTTCTGAAACGGAGGGTTCAGTCGAAGATATTCCTTTCACTCTGAGAGTTCTGAAATTGAATGTTCCGGAAATTCCTGCTTGAGAAAACAGACTAACAATGTTTCTTAAATTGTAGGAATATTCTTAAATTGACGAATCTGCGAAATCATAAAAAGATTGGGGTTTTTACTTTATTTCCTGTAAAACAGATAAAATGTCTCAATGCACATTTTTCTTTCTTTCTTCAATCTCGGAAATTGAAAATCAATAGACTTAATTAGATGAAAACATTATTCTTTCTTCCCCGGGTGTTCAATAGATTCCCAGTTTGAGAATATAGAAAAAGAACGAGTTTAAAAAAGGACTTGGATTTTTTTGTCATTCTTGGAAACTGAAAATCCAAAAACCGGAAGCAGGCCAAAGATTTCTTTCTTGCTGATCGGTATTAATTAACTCCCAGTATGTGAGAACAGATAATAGAAAAACAATGGTTCACTTAGTATGACATTGAATGTATTTAATTTGACTCTGGCTGGAAACTGGGATCAGGTGAAGAGTATTGTGGTGATGAATATGGGCAATGGAGGATGGAACAGATGAAGGGAGCAGAAAGGTTAGAGAAGGAGCTGAAGGGAAGGTGGTCAATGGAGAATCTGATTGATGAGCAGGTGAAGCGTTTCCAGGCGCAGTACAGCAGTACCCCGACCAAGCTGATCAAAGATGTAGCCGAGGTGTTGATGCCAAAATGGGCCCCGCCCCGTGAGCTAGCAGCCCTTTCCTGGTTGGGCGATTGGAGGCCCTCGGCCATCCCACGCCTCCTCCACTCCCTAATCCAAGCGGGCACCCTTCCTGAGTCCCGCGCGGTGAAGACGGTTCTGCCCCTGCTGATGGAGGAGTTACGGGCGGAGGAGGCAGTGATCGAGGAGGAGATGGCTGAAATCCAAGCGAATTGCATCTTTCACCTCCCTTTGAGAATGATGAGGAAGAAGAAGGGGGGTGTGGCGGCTTTAGCCTGTGTTCACACCGAGTTCAAAAAGGTTCATCAGGTTCTCATCAAGGCCCAAAACCTGAGGGTGAAAGCAATGCATGTGAGTGTGAAGAAGGTTCTCATCAAGGCCCCAACAGATGCGGCGCAGTTCTTGGTTGCATTTGCCAGGCTTCAAGATTTGATCCATCAACATGCCATGCGCCACCACCTTATTCATGGCCCTGTTTCTGTCCTCACCGCCTAGCACCTGCCCACCTACACGTACTTGCAAATTTCACAATCAAAACAATATGTACAAAAATATATAGGATATATAGGTTTTCTTATCTTCACAACAGAATTGTGATGTAGGTGTGTGTTTCTGAATTTTGATGATCTTCATTGTATTTGAGGCATCACAACTCACAAGTTCATTATATTCAAGCAATTCGACACACACACACGACACACAATATATATATAGAGAGAGGACAGATCATATCAGTTCATTTGTCTGTCTTCCCGGTTGCATTTTTAGCTGAAATTTAGTATGGATAAACTAGACTTGATGTAGAACAGACTCAAAAAAATTCATTGAAAAATTCCAACGAGAAGAGCTCCAAAAGCCCTCGGCCGGATGACAATTCCTATCAGGCCGGCCTGACAGGATCGTTGCTCTCTCTCTATCTATGGGCGAGGCGTTGGTGCCCAATTTAAGCACAAACGTACAACATATGAAAATACACTACATGTCGTTTTGGGTTAGCATGATACTAAAGTGGCACATACTTTTTAAAAAAGCAGGGCCATTAAATCTAAATGAATTGGAGCAAACTGAATGCTCCAACGATAAAAAAGTAACTTACACAAGAGAAAATAGCTTGCAACATATTAAAACCTTGAAACCAAAGGCAAACATACTTGTTTGGAGTTGCCAATAATCGGCAGATTACACATTATGGGATGAACCAACATATTTCAGTTAGAAGCGCCTATGTACAAAAAGAACAAAATTGCCTGTGCAAAAACATCTATAATTATATTAAAAAGTAGCCGAATATACCGCTGCCTACTTTTTAATCAATCACATGCATAAATTTGTAGGTGTAGCAAAAGATAATACACACAACATTCAAAAGGTCTAAACTATGTTAAGGAGGCTGAAAGTTAATAGATAAAGCACATGCTCCACAACATAGAAGATTAACTTGAGTCATGGAGGATCCAAGGCAGAAAGTTCCCATTCTTATCCTGGAAGAGGGACAATAGCAGAGGGTTTAGTTTTCTTAGATTTCAATGGATGCGGGTTAAAATCTGCGAGATTGTCCAAAGATTCAGTGTCATCGGGTGTCACGTTTCCAATGGGCTCCTCCAAATCCAATTTCTGCTTGGATTGGTGGCTAGACTCGCCCGCTTTGGTGTTTGTGAAGTCATTCCCAGAAAGAACCAGTGCATTTGAAGCCTGACATATGCAAATAACTCCATAAGCATTACATTGTGGGTCTTCATCATCTTTTTTTAGCGTGGCGCATTCCCAAACAAGCTGCATGTTGCTATGTTTCTAAAGAGCTTCCAAGTTAAGCTCACTCAGAAGGTTCGTGTCCTACACATTGCATGATATGTAGAACATCATGTGTGAACAAAGTGATATCCACATATGTTGATTTGTGAGCAACTTTAGCTGCCATTCTGAACCTTAACATTTCTAAAAAAAATAAAAATGCAGCCTTCACATAACAAAAGTATGAATTGAATACCTCTTAACGCTGGTTCCATTTTTTGTCCACAAAACAGGCATTCAAAGATAACACCTTCATCAGAATGCACTTAGGATATGTCTAAGTTTTTTTATGCCAGTAGTCATATGAATCATAGGACTCAGATTACCACTCTGAAAACAAGTTTTATGTTGCTCAAGGTACTCTTGAATGACTCTTTCTGAAGCTTTTTGGTAGTTTCCCTCTGTGGTCATTTCTCTTCCTTATTAGCAAAATTTTGATAGTTAAATTATTAGTGCAGATTTGAAAAAAAAACTGTAAATGGTAGGCAAGGGGGAAAGGCTAATGAAGATATTCATATGACCTCAGAAAAATAATTTGATTAGAGCTTTTTTAAAAAGTCACATACATTTATATTTTTTAGTCTCTATATGAATGAAATAGGTTAATCAAGAGAGTTTAAACAAATACTTAAAATTGATTTAGTGAGGTTGACAATTTATCCCCTCAACATTTTTCTTCATTCCAAATCCCCACCCTATTTTCATCCCAATTTCCTTTCCTTAGCGTATCCCAAGTCCAGACAGGCTCTACATTATGCAGGGATCAAGTAGACTTAGCCACACTGTAACATTTGTGATTTGGCATATATCCGTTCTCCATTATGCTATAAGACAGCCTCATATAAGTATACATGTTTTTATTCATGTATAGTGACACAAATGTTCATGGCTAACTCCAAACCTTCTACGACGGATGAAGCGTTGGAGAAACATTAGTGCCCAGATATATGCTCGTTTCATTATGTTGAAGTGAAATGTGTTATAACTATAGTTGCGCTAAATATGAACATGCTTAAAACCGAAAAATAGATTCTTAATTATGGGATGAAGAGGGTCCCGAAAACTTAAGGTCAAAATGATTAAAGAATAAACCATGGCAAAATAAATGAAAATATCAAACAAAGCATCAAGCAGATTTAAAACACAAGATAACGGGGAGCAAACTAAATCAAAGCTGAAATGAAACATTGAGAAATTACTTCATATTTTAGAATTCAAAAAAAGGCAAAGTTCATTTTTAAAAAATCTGATGACAACAAGTATTTTTTCACGAATGCTTTTTTAATTGAATACAGTAATAGGTAGAAAAACAGCTCACAACCCCTTTGATTGACACATAGTAAAAAAAATATGATCCTTCATTGTAACATACACTATTAGCTACTACTCTTTTCTTTCTTCCTACTTTTGCAACAAAATCTTAAAACTGAATCACTTTATTATTTCTTAGTTTCTGTCCATGGTAAAGGTTAAAGAAAGCCTCTTCTGAAGCTCTATGGGTAACCCCATCCCCAAAAAAAATAGAGAGACATATACCATATCAATCTCATCCTCCACAGCAAATAATAAGCCAACAAGTTGTGAATGCATGTTCATAGAATATATCAGAATTCGTAAAATAAAACATGGGGCGAAGGGGATGGCAGCGGGGGACTAAGTTAATAGGGGAAGATACCAGATAAGAGTAAGGAAATTCAAACACCAAACCAATAATAGCCGTCTTTAAAATTGCCAGAACAAAAATAATGGTGCTCATCACCAAATGAATGAGCTAGTGACCTTGAATATAGAGAGAGAGAATGGAAAGAAGACCAACTCGGCTAATTCGTATGCAGAGATGGAGCGACGAGGCGAGGGAACTGTTCTACTTCAAGAATGGGCGACGTCGAGTTATGCGGAAGGCGGACCTTGAGTGTAAATTGTCGTAAGAGATAGGATTGGCATGGAATGAACACCACAAGTCGATCGATAAACAAAAACAACACGCAACCACCGGATGCCAGGAGAACCGCACATAGCACATCCTTCTACAGTAGCCTGACCGCAGAACAGTGGGGGGAAGCTCGGCACCAAATCAAGCAAAAATGGATTTTGAATTAAAAAACGAATTCAAGAGACGGAGGCGGTGAATAGAAAGAGACGGAGCTTGACTTAACGGGAAATGGGCGGAAATTTGGGACGGCCGTTCAAGTCACCCTTTATATAAGTAGGAGATGTATGTATGTATGTATGTATGTATACACGAACATATTACACTCACATATTACACACACGTATATGTATATAGAGAGAAAGAGATTCAAACACAAATTACTCCTCATATGAAAAATGAGAAAATAAGTGAATCAGATCAATTTTTAAGTGCAATACGCGGTGACAAAAGTATAAACATTAGGAACTTTTTCGAAAAATAAAGTGATAAATGTGCATCCATACGGAGAAACAATGCATTTGACAAACACCATAATGCATCACTTTTTTAAATTAAATAAGGATTATAGAAATATGATACTACCTCCGTCCCCCTAAGTTTGGAACAAAAGAAGGTGACACTGTTTTTAATAAAAGTGAGTTGATGTGATTGATATTGAGGGGCTGTTTACTTTTTTTTCCATTAAGTCCTGTCTGGATTAAGATGTCTGAATGAATTAAGACGTCTGTATGAATTAAGTAACAGTAGTATAACAAGCTGTTTACTTTGAGCGCTGAACATGTAGTATGAATTATATTAAAATACCAATTTACCCTTTAATATGTAACACGTGCTGAATTTGTTTAGTTTTGCTATTGTGATGATATTTTAATTACATAAAATTTGTAATAAAATGAATATACTGAGCAAATAAGCTTACAACACGATCGTATAAATTCAAAAAATATTTTGCAACATAATAAATTTAAGCATTTTCTTTCATCCCGAAAATTCGTTAAGTATCGCATGCTCTATGTGCCCGTTGTGTACTTGTGTTCCATCTATTTATTCCCCCTTGCTTGACCATGCACTTCTCCATCTCCATTGTTTTTTTTTTCTCCATCTCCATTGTTGTACTTTCTTATAAAAGGAAGAGCCAATATATCTACTAGTAGCCCCAAAATTTTAGCATGCAACCACCTAACTAAAGAATAGAATAGAAAGAAACCTACATAGGTCCAAAAATTCAGCCTGCAAGTACCTAATCGTGAGCTACTAGCTTCACAAATAAAAATCCAAAATATAATCTAATCATGAAGCAAGGTAACGGTACATCCACATAAAAAATCAGCATATCAAATATTTAGGAACCAGGTCCTACGATACAGCAAAATTCAGCCAATATTTTCCCGTTATAATAAAGAATCAACACTTCGATTTTACAGTGCTCAGATCATTACCTCGAGAATTAAAACTAGATTGTTTTGGATTTGAGCAATTACTTCGAAAATACTCCGTATATAAGAATGAACTCTGCAATTTTAATAATAAAAAAATAATAAAACAGAGATAAAATTACAGGGAAAAACTAGATGAAGAGGGTAGGAGATGAGATGCGTCTTGTTGCTTTCGTAATAGCTCCCAGGTCGATGGAGAAGTAAATGATGAAAGTGGCGAACTGGCGATGAGAAGGCGAGGGTTAAAAATGACCGTGAGTATACAAACTCATGTCTGAATGCTAAGGAGTATAAAATGTGTGCTGAGCGAATAAGTCACCCCTCATCTGTGCGAATAAGTCAGTTTTAAAATTAAGTCACAAGTAAACACTCCAATATAACTATACGATTAAGTGGATATTTCCATTCAGTCCATTAAGTTCAAAATAAACAGGCCCTGAATTGATAAAGTAAGAATAAAGTAAGAATGATTTAGAACGACACAAATTTTACCAAATATGGTATGAGACAATCTTAATGGGACGGGCCAAAAAGGTGAAACGGGACAATCAGAGCGGAATGGAGGGAGTATTTGTTAACGAGGTAAATGTGCATTCTTACATATTCCATATGCACTTTTACTACTAAGTATTGTACATTTAGGTTTAGCATTTTGCCACCTCGATTTTTTTATCTATTTCATCCATGTTCAAGTGGTCAGACTCTTAATGGTAAAACCTCTTTTCACTTTTAATGGTAAAACCTGTTTGTATTAGAACTCACTCATATATATATGGATAGATTCAAATAAAAAGTAGTTCCTTAGTGAAAAATAAGAACTAATCTTGATCAGTATGAAAAATGGGTAGAAGAGATCAAATTTTAAATTAGCAATGGGATGGCGTTTTGGTATAACTGTATAACCTTGCCTAAATATGGAGTATATTACCTAAATATGGACCGCCCAACTTGCCACAGCGAGATGGCTGCAACGCCGCCATATCTCGCGGAATTGCCATCATTTCTTTTGCTTTTCCGCAGTCGATCTGTAATATTCCCGAATCCTACTTGAAACTCCGTCGAGATATCAGCAGAAGAAGTTATTCTTGCTATTTTTAAAGAGGACATAACGTTAATTAAGAGGATGACCTCCGGAGCGATGTGGGGATTTGAGAGGTTAAGGAGAGGCGTAAAGATATTGTATTTCATGGTGGCGATGGTGGCTTCTCTGCTGGTGATATCTTCCCCTGTGCTGGTGGCGATGGGTGACATGATAGTGCAGTGCGTGTTGATTTCGTGCTTCACGTGCATCAGTGGTTACAGTTTTCAAGAACACTTGCATATATACACATTCAAGAGTTCATTAACTGACATTCCTCTAGTTTCAATCATCAGATCTCTCGTCATCACCTGTATGTTGTCATCCCCACCCTTCATATTTCTTAAATGAAGCTTTCTGGATTTCATTTACATTATTTTGTGAAATTTGCGATAAGTTTATATGATCCATTGAACCCTGAGGATTAATGGCTCCTTTTTCTTTCTCTTGTCACATTTTCCTTCTTTGATAAATATGCAAATATTTGGTTGGTCCTTACGCCAAAAAAAAATCTGTGCCTTAGTTTACTGCCTAATTAGTTATATCTTTTTTCTCTAATACGAAATTCCACTCATATTGCCAATAAATTCAACTGTTTGGATCTTTATCTTGTTTATTATGTTTGTAAGGTCTGAACTGTCAAAGTAATACTGCTATTTGTTTCAATTTCATCATTTCAGGTGTGTATTCTTTGTGCAATGGCGCTTCCCTCTCTCACGAAACCTATCTTGGAGCCGTGACATTTTGTTCAGTCATTTCAGTTCTTCTTCTTTCCATCAAGGCTTGTGTTTTTTCTGTCAATTCTTACCTGGAAGCTGAAGCTTCAATCTCCATCTCACGGCAAAAGTTTCATTTGATGAAGTCATGGGGGATGCCAGTCTTGTTTCTCTCATCTGTGGTGTTTGCTCTTGGACATTCAGTTATTGCATACAGATCAAGTTGTAGAGCTAGAAGGAAACTCTTGTTTCACCGCATTGACCCCGATGCTGTATGTAGATATGATGCTTCCATTTGTAGCTTCTACCCTAGTTGGAATTGCCTATGTTGCACGGATACGGATACGCCGATACTCGGATACGCGGATACGGGTACGGCGATACGGCACTTTCAAAAATTATAGGATACGGGTACGGGGGTATATTTATAAATAATAAAAATATAGGGTATAATTTGCAAATATATATAATTCAGGGGTTCATAAATAAAATAATAATAGTACAAAAAATTAACTATTATAATAAAGTTTCAAAGATTAGTCTAAAAAATTAAAGTATTGATATTTTGATTTAAATTCAAATAACATTTTTTTGTTCTCTATTTGCATTTACATCTAAGTCTTGTTTCAATTAAAGCTCATCAAGCAATGAAATGACAAATTATAGTATTCCATTATTTTCCATACTCCCGAAACCATCTTTATCAATGTTCCACATGTTGTGGTCGCTTGGGCGGCTACTGAATTTTCGTCATGTCGTGTATCAAATGAGGGGTTATAGGTTCGGACACGGGTATCGGTTCATGGATACGGGTATCGGAAGTATCAATATTTTTAAAATTAAGCCCGATACTTTTATTAAATTACGGATACGGACCCAATACGTACAGGATGCGTATCGGTGAGTATCAGATACAGATACGTATCGGATACGCGGATACGGCATCGAGGTGAAGTATCGGTGCAACATAGGGAATTGCATATGATTCTCTACTGTCCTTATGGGTATGTTTGGATGCCGGAAAAATACTAGGGCAAACAGTAAAATGCTAAGTGAAATTATTTTCTTGTGCTTGGCTTTACCTTGGAAAATAAAAGGGAATGTCAATATGATTTATTATTTTTAACATTTACATGCATTTAGATTTCATAGTACTTATATAATAGAAATAAATAAAAAAGTATATAAATAGATGAAATGAGCTCGAACAAATATAAAAAATAAAGGGAAAAGTATGGAAAAGGTACCTGTGGAAAAGACAGAAGTGGTTTGGAGGTCATCTTTACAAGGCGCACCTTCTGGTATTTTTCTTCTAATTTTCCGGGCACTTTTGGAAATCGGAGTTACTATTAATCGTCTTCCACTTTTTAACGGGGTCAAGCGCCAGGACCCTCTTGTGATAACAGAGTTCAAACACATGAACTACTTTGATAAAAAATGAAACACATGACCCTATTTGAAAACGGGCCCAACCACAGGTACTTTTTCCGTACTTTTCCCAAAAATAAATTAATTGAGCTTGAGTCTATCTTTTAATTTCTCCCCACTTCTCTTTCATTCGAATCTTCCTCTATGTTTTCTTTAGTATTTATGTGGTCCAAACAGACCCTTAATTGTATAATTAGAGATGTAATTTTTTATCCCGCAAAAGCTTATTCTGTTCTGTGTTGGTAAGTGGGAGGGAGCTATTTACTCCTCCAAGCTCGTCAAATCTACTCCCCCCATTTTGGGGTATTTTGGAGCAATTATATTTTCTCAATTTCTCTTTAGCCCTTTTCTAAATAAAAGTTTATCCACATTATTATTGCTATACATATAGATTGCTATACTTTAAATGATAAAGAAATCATATCAACCATAACATTTTTAATACGTAGTATATTTTTCTAAAATAATAATACCTCATTATTCCATTAAACCAAACATACACCTCTTTTAAGCTCCCATTCTCCTCCATGCCCTTGTTTTGATCCAAACAAATGGCTTACTGTACTGATTGTTTCGATTAACAATGAATCACAGGTCCGAGCCAAAGTTGTTTTTCCTGGATACCAGAAGGTTCCACGTTCCCCAATCCCTTCTGCTGGGAAGGCACCAAGAAGTGACAATGGATTGCGGACAAAATCTGCACGATTTGCTCATGTTGATGGTCAACTGCCTGTTAGATTACTGGCTGATTCTGACAGCTTATTTATCTCTTGTCTTGGACTTGCCATTCATTATAAGATAAGTTTGCCTGGTTCACCTCCCTGTTCCTTTTCCTCCATGGCCTTTTTTGACAGGTCAGCGGTAAGTGGTTCATCCAGAAATGAACAGAAACTTCGAAGGAGCTTCAGTAACCAATATAATTCTTCATCTCTATCTATTCCTTTGCTCGATACCTCTCCCAAATCCCCTGTTATGTTTGAAGATATACCTGTTTTGAGCCTATCTGAGACAAGGTGTGAGGATAATCAGATTAATAACTTGCCATATCCACCAAACATGAGAGATTTGGAAGCAAACCATGAGCATGGGATTGTTTTAGTACATGGCTTTGGAGGTGGGGTCTTTTCGTGGAGAAATGTGATGGTCATGCTAGCTCAACAAGTGGGTTGTACTGTGGTTGCTTTTGATAGACCGGGTTGGGGGTTGACATCAAGGCCCTGCCGTAGAGACTGGGAGGAAAAACAATTGCCTAATCCATACAAGATTGATTCCCAGGTAAATTTTCTTGCTCTTTATATGTATTCTGGATTTCCGGCATGTTTTATTGGGGAAAAATTATTTCAAGCCCTTGAACTTTGTCTATAACCCCTTTTAGCTTTATTAAGCGCCTGAATGGCCTCAACATTACCAATAGAGCACTCTAGAAAAGTCTTTTTCTTTGTATCATAGTCTTACTTTTTGTAGGTTTTAGGAATAAAACTTCCTTGATTGATTATGCCAATCGGCCAGAATATTTATACAGATGTACAAGCAACTAATCAGCTAATTTAGATCCTAAAAAATAGGATCTTGATTACTACGAGCTTATCTCTAAATAACAACACGTGTTCTAATCTATTCGGCTAAGTATGTACACCAAATTAAATCATGTAACATTTTCTACACTCCCCCTCAAGTTGGTGAATATATATCTCACATTCCCAACTTGTTTGTAAGCAGTTTGAACACAGGTTTAAATAACCTTTTGGTGAGGATATCAGCTGTTTGGTCTTTGGTAGATAAATATGGTGTGCAAATAATTCCAGCTTCTATCTTCTCTTTAATAAAGTGTTTGTCCACTTCAATATGCTTAGTTCGATCATGTAGCACAGGATTATGAACAATGCTTATAACTGCTTTGTTATCACAATACAGCTTCATAGGCAGTTCCATCTCCATCTTCAGTTCTGTAATTACTCTCTTGATCCAGAGTAATTCACATATTCCATTAGCCATAGATTTGAATTTTGATTCAGCACTACTTTTAGCAACCACATTTTGTTTCTTGTTTCTCCAGGTTACTAAGTTTCCCATACATAGGTACAATATCCAGAAGTAGACCTCCTATAATGTATTGAGCCAGCATAATCTGCATCAGTATAGGCCTCAATTGTCCTAAACTGACTCCCTTTTTGAAATATAATCCTTTCCCTTGGCAGCTCTTCAGGTACCTTAGGATCTTAGGATCCTGTAAGTAGCATCAAGATGTTCATGGAAAGGATTATGCATAAACTGGCTCACCATGCTTACTGCAAATGCAATATCTGGCCTAGTATGTGCAGATATATTAATCTTCCCACCAATCTTTGATATTAGTGAATATCAACTGGAGTTCCTTCCTTGATATCTCCCAACTTCTGTCCTGGGTCAATTGGAGTGTCTGCGGGTTTGCATGCACTCATCCCAGTTTCCTGCAGAAGGTCTAAGATATACTTTCTTTGTGAGATAACAATACCCCTTTTTGATCTAGCTATCTCCATCCCCAGAAAGTATTTTAAATCTCCTAGGTCTTTAACTTCAAACTCATGGACAAGCTTTTCTTTTAAATTCTTAGTCTATGTATGATAATTCCCTGTGAGGATGATATCATCTACATAGACAATCAGTATTGCAATCTCCCCCTTGCCTGAAAACTTCATGAACAATGTATGATTAAAACTATGAGCCTGATTAAACCCTTGTTTCTTTACAAATTTGGCGAATCTGTCAAACCAGGCTCTTGGAGACTATTTAAGTCCATACATAGCTTTCTCTAATTTGCATACCTTTGCACCAAATTTATTCTCAAACCCAGGAGGAGGTTTCATATACACTTCTTCTTCAAGTTTCCCATTTAAAAAAGCATTCTTTACATCCAATTGTTGCAGTGGCCAGTCCAAATTAACAAGAGATAAGAGAATTCTTACAGTGTTCAACTTTGCAACTGGTGCAAAGGTTTCTGTGTAGTCAATGCCATAGGTCTGTGTGTATCCCTTAGCAACTAACCTCGCCTTATATCTCTCCAGACTTCCATCTGCTTTAAACTTAGGAGTGAAAATCCACCTGCAACCAACAGTTGGTTTGTTTTTAGGTAACTCTACAAGCTTCCTTGTCTGATTCTTTTCAAGAGCCTCCATCTCCTCCAAAACAGCTTTCTTCCACTCAGGTTTAGATAAAGCATCATGTATGGTTGAAGAAGTAGGAATAGAAGAAACACTAGAAGTAAAGGTTGCAAAGGATGAGGATAATTTAGAATAAGAAACATGGTTTGAGATAGGGTATTTAACACATGCTCTTCTTTCTTTTCTGAGGGCAATTGGAAGGTGAAGATGAATAGAAGTATTACCTTTTTCACTCCCTGTCATTGAGTCAGAATCATGAACAGTGGTAGGTTCTTGGACTTCCTCTATTCTTTTATTTTGAAATCTTCTCTCATAAACTTTGCCAAAGAACTGACTTGTCTGTTGCTCTTTTTCAATTGGTTCAGTTGTATTTATTTCATTATTTGTTATTCCTTGATCATTTTCAGATGTAATATCATCAAGATTAATGTCAAGAAAATTAAGGTTTTCATGGATATGTGGTAATGTTTGAACATCTTCTCTTAAACTCTCCCCCTAAAGATGAGTATAAAAAAAGGCCGTTCTTCCACAAAAAAAGTATCCATAGTAACAAACATTTTTCTGGTTATAGGATCAAAACATTTATACCCCTTTTGAGTGGAAGAAACACCTAGAAAGACACATTTTGTTCCTCTAGGATCAAATTTACTTGCAGTTTTATCAGGATTTTTTATCAACACTGTGCAACCAAAAATTTTTAAAGGAAGAGTACTGATCAGTCTATTTGTAGGAAAACATTGCTCTAGTGAATTGATAGGACTTTTAAAGCCTAGCATTTTTTATGGCATGCGGTTAATTAAGTAAGTAGCATGTAACACAGCCTCTCCCCAAAGATATTTTGGTATGTTTGTTGAAAACATGATTGCACGAGTGACTTCAAGTAAATGTCTGTTTTTCCTTTCTGCAATTCCATTCTGAGCTGGGGTATTGATACACGAGCTTTGATGGACTGCCTTTTTCAGCAAAAAAATTGTTTAGGGTCTGAGAGAAATATTCACGGCCATTATCACTTCTTATCATCTTAATTTTGGTATTGAATTGAGTTTGGACCATAGCATAAAAATCCCTAAACACCTTTTCAACTTCAGATTTTTCTTTAATAAAAAAACTCATGTGACCCGTGTATGATCATCAATAATAGTTACAAACAATCTCTTTCCTTTTAAAGTTGGTACTCTAGATGCCCCCCAAATGTCACTATGTACCAAAGTAAAAGGACTAGTATGTTTATAACTTGGGGAAGATAAGAGTTTTTATGATGTTTTGCAAGAGCACACATGTCAGACTGATGTAAAGAAGTATCTTTATTCAAAAATAATTGAGGAAACATCCTTTTTAAGTAATGGAAATTAGGGTGTCCTAGTCTATAGTGAAGCAAATACAACTCTTTATTATTTGAAAAAGAAACAGATTGCATACAAGCATTTCTTGGACCTCTTTTACTTGATTGAGTCCCTTCATCAAAGATATAGAGTCCATCTTCCTCCCTAGCACTGCCAATCATCTTCCCCGATGCTAGGTCCTGAAAAATGCAATAAGAGGGATAAAAAATAACACAATATTGTAGATCTTTAGTTAGCTGACTAACAGAAGCAAGATTGCAGGAAAGATTAGGGACATGAAGGACTTTGGACAGGTTCACAGATGAGGAAATATTAATACTTCCCACCCCTACAATGGCTGATAAAGAGTCATCAACAACTTTGACCTTTTGTCCCCTGCACAGGGTTTATATGAAGAAAAAAGGTTTGAAATAGAGGTCATATGATCACTAGCCCCTGAGTCAATGACTCAGGTACTTTTAGGTTTCCCAGAACAAAAAAATGAAGAGGTACCATTCTGGGCATAAGAACAAGAAGAAGATTCAGATTCAGGTTTGGAATTTTTTTGAGTATTCAGAAGATTAAGGAGTTGCTCTATCTGTTCCTTTGTGAAGGAGGGCTGTTTGAAGTTGACTTGTGGCTCTTGTTGAGTCTCATCCACAGTTGTTTGTAGAGCTTTCTTTTTTCCAGCTCCTAGTGGTTTCCCATGAAGTTTCCAGCAGGTATCTCTAGTGTGACATAATTTCTTGCAGTGGTCACACCAAGGTTTTTTCTGGTCATCATTTCTGGCTACCATAGCTGAAGAGTCCTCGGGTTCCTCATGAGGTATTGGAGTGTTGTACATAACCTTCTTTCTACAATCTTCCATTCGGAGTGTTGAGGCCAGAGGTTTTTTTCCAAGTATCCTTCCCTTAACTTCATCTAGGTCTCTATTTATGCCTGCTAGAAACATATAGACCCTATCATTTTCTTCTCTTTTCCTATGCCTTGCCAGATCCTTGGCACTTCCCATTCTTCATCATCATAGCATTGATCTAATTCTTGCTATAGAGATACCATTTCATTATAGTATGAAATGACATCCTTATTTCCTTGTTTAGATTGCCACAGTTTGGTTTTGAGTTCAAAGATCTGAGAAGAATTCTCAAGATCTCAATAAGTTTCCTTAATAGAGTCTCATACCTCTTTTGTAGTTTTCATAAACATATGAGGTTTGGAGATTGATGCATCCATTGAACTGAGAAGCCAGGCTGTCAGTAGTGAGTTTTCTGACCTCCAGACACTGTAGCCATCTTCACCAATTTTCTTTTCTTTGATCTCTCCAGTTAGGTATCCCAGTTTGCCCTTGCCATCAATTGCTAATTTGACAGATTGTGACCACTCTAGGTAATTTCTCCCATTCAATCTATGTCCAGTGATGAGCATAGATGAATTAACCGAGGCCTGATAATTTGCCATGGAGCTAATATGGGGGTTACTGGTATGTGAATGGAGAGAGGAGTCAGAGTGTTCGAATTCCACCATTTGAATGTGTAAATTCAAGGCTCTGATACCATGTAGGTTTTAGGAATAAAACCTCCTTGATTGATTATGCCAATCGGCCAGAATATTTATACAGATGTACAAACAATTAATCAGCTAATTTAGATCCTAAAAAATAGGATCTTGATTACTGCGAGCTTATCTCTAAATAACAGCACGTGTTTGTTCTAATCTATTCGGCTAAGTATGTACACCAAATTAAATCATGTAACATTTTCTACAATAGTATAACATTTTCTACACTTTTCAATAACATGTGGAATTAGAAGTTGTTTGACTGCCACATATTTGATCCACTTTAGAAATGCTTAAGGGGGGTGTTTGGTTAATGGCCTATTAGCCATTTTTCGGCTGATTTGACCATTATTTGGCTTTTTGACCAGATAAACAGCTAATAGGGGTGTTTGGTTAATTAGTTTTTTCACTTGGCTTTTTATCTCAAACAGCCAAAATTAGAAAAGCTGCGTTTCGATGGTCGGCCGTTTAATATCTATGACAAATTCTTATTTTGCCCACGCTGCTCCTATTACTCCTATTAGTGCTCGTCAACAAAAAAATACAGCTGGACCAAGCGCACGTACTTCTCCTTATAACAAGCTATCATGCTTCTATCTTCACTTTTATTTTTTCATTTGCAAATCAGTAATTCTGAAATAAATAAAACTTGTCCTTTTAAAACAGCAAATCAAACATGTCATAGCACATGTCAATCGTTGTAACTTGTGTTAATAAATTTAATTTTTGTTGAATTAAAACGGGTTAAGTAGTTGTAGAAAAATTATTAGCAGAATTTAATCGTTTTTTTGGCAAACATATATAAAGTAGTTAACAAAACACTGTTTTATAAATAGCTATCACTATCAAAAATTTGTATCAGCCGATTGTAAACAGTCGTTTACAAAACACTGTTTTATAAAGTAGTTAACAAAACACTGTTAATCTTTTATTTTTTCATTTGCAAATCAGTAATTCTGAAATAAATAAAACTTGTCCTTTTAAAACAGCAAATCAAACATGTCATAGCACATGTCAATCGTTGTAACTTGTGTTAATAAATTTAATTTTTGTTGAATTAAAACGGGTTAAGTAGTTGTAGAAAAATTATTAGCAAAATTTAATCGTTTTTTTGGCAAACATATATAAAGTAGTTAACAAAACACTGTTTTATAAATAGCTATCACTATCAAAAATTTGTATCAGCCGATTGTAAACAGTCGTTTACAAAACACTGTTTTGTTAACAGTCGGCTGGTTTGATTAAACGACTGTTTACAATCGGCTGATAATTTGTTAAATTACTCTTAAGGACATCAATTAATATGTTTAGTTTTTTTAAAGGATTATTAGCAAATTTGTAAAAATTATTAGCAAAATATGTAAACAGTCGTTTAACCAAACACTGTTTTATAAATAGCTATCACTATCAGCTAATCAAACCAGCCAACAGAATCCGCTGTCACTAATCAGCCAACAGAATCAGCAACAGCCAACTACCAATTGCCAAACACCCCCAAGGTCTCATAATTCTTCATTCATTCGACAGGGGAGCCTAGTAACTCTTATGGTAAGGTAAGGTAAGGTTTGTCATGATGATTTAAGCTTGTTTGGGTATCGACATATGTAATGCAACAAATTATTATATGAAGATACTAGAGAAGGACTATATGAGGCTTAACTTTGCCACTGATGTGCCGAATAGGCCCTATTGGAAGCTGGGGAGCTTAGTATTGTCTCTTACCTCACCCACCGTGGATTTTTAGTTGTTCATTATATTTATGATTTTTGAGGTTTTGATTAGATACTTGCGGTGTTTATGTTTCAGGTAGATCTGCTTCTTTCTTTCTGTCTCGAAATGGGGTTCTCCTCTGTTATACTGGTTGGCCATGATGATGGAGGGTTGCTAGCACTAAAGGCTGCTCAAAGAGTCCAGTCATCCATGGGCTCAATTAATGTGAGTTACCACCCTTGTTGCTTTTAGGTTATATATATTAATCAATCGATTTTGTTGAAAATGTTCGTAAAATGAGAAGTGTTGTTGAGATTTTTTGTGAGACTTGTTGAGAATCTAATTTATAAGAATGAATTTAAAAGCTATTCAACAAATTATGCTAATCTATTTGGATGGATTCTTAGGCATTTATTATGGGGAAAAGGGGCAAAAAGCCCCCTAAACTTGTCAACAAAGGGTATGTATGCCCTTGAACTTTGTTTTTGGACAAAAATCTTTAAAATCCCACATGAGAGGGCAATTTCCCCCTTTATTCACGTGAACCAAGTTAACAGAACTAGCAACCGTTAAGTTGCTCATTTCAATTAATTTTATTTATTATTTATTAACTAACTTTGTAAAATAGTTGAAATTTATCAAATATGAATAAAAACGATTAGGAAAGAATTGTTTGATATTATGATTAGATCCCACTTAATGTGATAAAAACGAATTAGGGTCCTTCAAAACACTTTATATTTTGATATAAATATTAAGAAATACTCCCTCCGTCCCCTTAAGTTTGTCCCGTTTTACCTTTTTCGTCCGTTCCATTAAGTTTGACCCATACCATATTTTGTAACATTTGTGTGGTTAGAATTCATTCTTACTTTATTTATACTTTATCAATTCAATACCAACCACACAATTCCACTTTTTCTTAAAAACCACACCACACCCCTCCGTCCCAAACTTAGGGGGACGGAGGGAGTACTCCGTATGAATTTACTATTTTTGTGTTGTCACATAATTTTTACCTTATTTTTACCACATAAAACCCGTTGGGTTGAATATGGTTCGACTTATCAGCCATTTTTTTTCAAACTATTTTGAACAAACTATTTTAGCTGAATTTTTAATAATCAAAATAAATGAGGTTCAAATTTTTTTTCTTATTAAATTGGTTTAAATTGTTTCAAGCCAGCTATTTTAGCCTTTTTATCTGACTTTTTCTTTGTATTACTACATCTGGCCTAGGGGCAACCTGATCTCGATCGGCCTGGTCCCGATTCCTGTCCAAGTCTCGGACCGGCTGGTCCTGGTGCGGTCTCGGTTCTAGTCTCAGAGCGGCTGGTCCCGATTCGTGAATGATGATGCCCGGAATTTATGGGTCACGGGTCCAGTCCCGGGCCAGTTCGGGCACACTGTTTTGATTTTTTGTTTAAATTTAGTAATATAAATAACAAATGCTAAACATTAAACCTGAAATGTAGATTTATTAGAAACTCTAATTTGACTTAGAGTATTAGACATTTATAATTTACAATTGAGAATAGTTTAAATACATTTCCTAATCGTCAGAACTCCTGACAACGTCAATTATTGTTTCCTCTATGAAGTGGCGGTCCGGTGTTATGTTAACTTTTCAATTTCTATGGCCGGCCTTGAACAAATCGTGGAATCAAATGAACATCTCAAAAAATGCAATTGAGAGTAGAATAATTGAGTAGTAGATTAGAATTTATAGATAAGAGGGAGAAGTGCGATTATTAAAATTGAGATTGTATAATTAGATTGAATTTAAATTGGTAATAGCTTTTTGATAATTAATCATTTTTATGGTTTGTTTTGTATTTTTAATCGAATCCTTTTGTTTAAATTTTATACAATGTATGATTCAACTAATTACAAATTACTAAATTAGTAAAGAAATACAATTAAAATCGAAAGGAACAACTTCACCTAGGTTTACCGTCAAATTTGGATCAAATGGGTTCACCGTCAAAATAATGGGGAGTTGTTGCCCTCTTTTTAGGATCATATAAAGTGGGATCTAATCATAATATGAAACAATTCTTTACTAATCGTTTTATTAATACGTAGTATTTGATATATTTCAACTAATTTACAAAGTTAGTTAATAAATAATAAATAAAATTAATTGAAATGAGCAACTTAACGGTTGGTAGTTTTGCTAACGTGGTTCACGTGAATAAAGGGGGCAATTGCCCTCTCATGTGGGATTTTAAAGATTTTTGTCCAAAAAAAAAGTTCAGGGACATAGATATCTTTTGTTGACAAGTTTAGGGGGCTTTTTGCCCCTTTTCCCTTTATTATGCATATAGGTTATCATCAAGGGGGTGGTATTGCTGAGTGTGAGCTTGACAAGAGAACTGGTCCCTGGCTTTGCAAGAATTTTGTTGCGCACGTCGCTTGGGAAAAAGCACTTAGTCGGACCTCTTTTGCGAACTGAAATAACTCAAGTGGTTAATAGACATGCGTGGTATGATGCTACAAAGCTCACCACGGAAGTCCTAAGTCTTTACAAGGTATGTTTTCCATGTGCTTCTTTAATGGTTGGAATAACATGTGTCAATCTCATATCTATCCATCCATCCATCCATCCATCCATCCATCCATCCATCCATCCATCCATCCATCCATCCATCCATCCATCCATCCATCCATCCATCCATCCATCCATCCATCCATCCATCCATCCATCCATCCATCCATCCATCCATCCATCCATCCATCCATCCATCCATCCATCCATCCATCCATCCATCCATCCATCCATCCATCCATCCATCCATCCATCCATCCATCCATCCATCCATCCATCCATCCATCCATCCATCCATCCATCCATCCATCCATCCATCCATCCATCCATCCATCCATCCATCCATCCATCCATCCATCCATCCATCCATCCATCCATCCATCCATCCATCCATCCATCCATCCATCCATCCATCCATCCATCCATCCATCCATCCATCCATCCATCCATCCATCCATCCATCCATCCATCCATCCATCCATCCATCCATCCATCCATCCATCCATCCATCCATCCATCCATCCATCCATCCATCCATCCATCCATCCATCCATCCATCCATCCATCCATCCATCCATCCATCCATCCATCCATCCATCCATCCATCCATCCATCCATCCATCCATCCATCCATCCATCCATCCATCCATCCATCCATCCATCCATCCATCCATCCATCCATCCATCCATCCATCCATCCATCCATCCATCCATCCATCCATCCATCCATCCATCCATCCATCCATCCATCCATCCATCCATCCATCCATCCATCCATCCATCCATCCATCCATCCATCCATCCATCCATCCATCCATCCATCCATCCATCCATCCATCCATCCATCCATCCATCCATCCATCCATCCATCCATCCATCCATCCATCCAAGAAGAGGCAACACAAAATGTGGCAAACAATTTCATTTTATCACAGAATGAAGATATGTGTTGTGGTTGTATCCACTTGACTTCTATTTCTTTTTATTTGAACTTGGTGAGGTTTATTCAGCCCGAAGGTCCAACACGGGGTGGTCGATTTAATATAATGTAAAGTGTGGATTGTAAGATGACAATGATTTAAATATGAAGAACGAGCTAAAACTTTTAGTATTAGGTTCGAACTTTAATGATGAACACTTACAATACTCTTAAAGTCTCAAGAACAAGAATAATCTCTACACATTTGCTCTAAAGATTGACCAGAAATGGTAAGAATAAAAGGAGTAAATGTTATTACATGCCAAGTTGTGAACCCCTCTTAAGGATTTATGAAAGGATATTTATAGTGGAGGGTGTTAGCTGAATGTGTGATAGAATCTCCAATTCTGTAACCTTACATTGAACAGTAATATTGCGGTAAAAGGCAGAAACGAAGAAGACGATACAAATGAGGCACTTCGAGAGGCACTCAACTCTCCAGAACCCAAATTCCCAAATCTAAAATCAGCCTCCTTATTTCCCCCTCCCTACTATTATTTATACTAACTTATGGGTCAGCCCAATATTATATGACATGGCCCAGAATACTTATTTATACAATACCAAACTTATTCAATATCAATCTATCACTATTATTATCATTATTCTCTACCGCCCAGGGCCCTATCATATCTCCTCCCTTGAAAAACCACCTTGTCCTCAAGGTGGGTAATAGGACACAACATTGATCTTGAACTTCATCTTCATCCTGGAGCCTCTTCCTTCCCAATATCTCCCGGATTTCTGAACCAGGATATTCTGTACTTCGTTCCCCCACCTCACAAATTTTTCTGCAGCCAAAGATAAGTCTAGTGAAGTCGCAGTCTCTTCAGTGGCTGTAAAGCACTCAATAACGACAAATGTTTCTTTGTGTTGTGCTTCTCCATGTGCAGCAGTTAAATGTTTTGATAGTGTTGCAACCCGTCCTTCCAGCAGATTCCACCTGAGTGATTCATCATTATAGATGCTAAGCTTTCTCAATAGTCTCCTAGATATGCACCCTCCCATCACACATGGATATGCACTCTCCACCACTTTGAATTCCGGATCTCATACATTTGCAGCTCCTTCAAGTAATCCTAAAGCTCGTATCACCAATACATAGTCATGAGAAAGAGATAAGTTGAACTCGCACATATCATCATATAACTGATTTTTAGCCTGGATATCCTGGAATTGTCCACTTCCCTCACCAAAGGATTGTACGACAGTTCTTTTAGGAATGAAACCGAGATAGAGGAAATCATTTGCCATACTCCTTGAAATTGTAACCTCAGAATCTCCAGCTGCCACCCTTTCCAAATAAGCTTGAAGCATGAGAGTTTTCAAGTCATCATCTCTTGGCCATTTCAATTTCTGAAATAAGCTACCTTCCTTCATAACTATCAACAACTCCTTGATTGAGCTGGGATGACACCTCAATAGAGAGTAGGTAGGATACTTGTTCAGTCTCTTTTCAGAGACTGCCATATCAGCAACCATCATCAACTCTTCTACCATTTGATACCCTCCAATATCAACAGGATAAGGCGTGGAAGTGTTAATCTGACATTGAACTGCAGTATCTATTTGAAATTGAACTTCACCGGGTTCACCATCAACACTTTTAGAAACCATTTGAACACTCATTTCTTTCTCTTCAATTTCAGCATTTCCCCCAAGGTAAGGGATGATTTCAACCTTCATTTCCTGAACAGCATCATATTGATCCAAGGCATCCTTTGCACAAAAGATATATGATAGGGATCTACCTTTTAGATTAATAATAGATAATAATTCTAATATGAATACTAGAAGAATAGATACTGTTTAGTGGGCCTGGTAGTTTTGGGCCTATTATTATAAAGAATACTAAGAGGGCTTATACTATAAATAGAAAAGGGGAGGAAGGCATAAGGTAGGCTTTTAGACGGATAGTCTTGGGACTTGGGAAGATACGAGACTGAACATCTCTATCTTTTGGGGCTTCGGCTTTGGGAGGCTTCGGCCTTGGTTACTGTCTTCTCCTGTAATCGATCACCTTCATAAATAAAGTTCTCATCAGTTTTTCTTGTTAATCTTTCCATAAATCTTCTGAATTTCTGGAGGTATCTATCAATATAAAGGTTGACTGCATCCTTTTGCCCTTGTCTATAACCTCTATCTTCAGCCTGTAGCACGTGTGTAGGTTTTCTTGGCAGTTCCAAAAGGACAAGGTCTTCTTCCAGAAGCATGGCCATACCCATGAAAATGCCCTTGAACATCTCTGAATCCTTAAATCTCATAGAAACTACCACCAATTCATAGCTCTCTTCATCTGATGCCTTTCCATTTGAGTTATTTTTAGAATTAGGGAATAGCATGGACACATTTTCATTTCCTTTCTTGTCAATAATCAATATTCCAGTCTTAGTAACGTTCTTGGGTACCACCTGAGGTGTTCTCCTATCATCTTTGCATTTTCCAGCCAAAGGTATGAGAGCAAAAGAAATAGCAGAGCCCTGGAAAGTTCCTATCCTACTGGAAGCAACATACTGAACATCAGGGATAGAAACTTGAGGCACTTCTGATGCCAGACGTTCTGACTGTCCTCCTTTTTTGCTAGGGTCACCAAGAACACCATCCGACAGAAGCCTTGGCTCCGAAGATCTACCATAGCTTTCCTCACCATTGAATAGCTGCACCTCTGCCTCTCTCCTGATTAGGCTAGGTCCTTGGTTCATGTATATCTTGCTTTTGTTGGCGGTCATCTGCGATCTTAAAACATTTCTTGTCAATTGCTTCGCACTTGGAGGCGAATTGGGATAAAGTGTTGGCGTTGGAAGAATGTCAACATTGCTCTGTTCTGAAGGTGTTGATGAAACCAACTTCAACTCAGATTTCAATTCAGGAGAAACTTGTGCCTGTTGAGAAGCTGTGTAAGAATAAGCAAGGGACTGAGAACTGGTGACTTTTGACTGCGCCACAGTCTGCGAACTGGAGAACTCCGTTGGCGATAAAGCTAGTGCGTTGTGAAACGCCGCTTGAGATGCCATCTGCGAGCTGGTGGAAGTGGTTTGCATCTGAGAGCTGGAAACTACTGTTAGCGATGAAGCTTCTCCTCTCAATCGCGTCGGACTACGCCGTGAACTGCTGGCTGATGTTGGAGTTCGCCATTGCGAACTGTGAGAGGAAGTTCGCGACTGAAGACTGGAAGATGCGGTTCGCGATTTCGAAGGTTTCTGGGAACTGACAAGGTAGCCAACTTGCGATGAAGATGAGTGAGGATAAACACTTCGCGAGGAAGGTTTAGAACTGGAAACCGATATTGACGTTTGCGGAACAGTTCGCGATTGATGACGATGATGAGATCGCGACCTCCTACTCTCGCGGATTTCATCGATCATCGCATCCATCTCTCTTGTTATCCTTTCCATCACTGTTTCCATCTTTGCTTCCATTCGCAGAAAACTTTCTTCTATCGCGACATAACCACGTTCAGCGGCCTCCAATCGTTGTTCCATCTTGGTTCGTTCGTGTCTCAGCTTTGCGAATACTTATCCTCTTCTGCGATAAAGATGCGACGATCAATAAGACTCCAGGAGCTATTTGCTCTGATATGCTCGATGATTCGATTCTCTGCCTCCAGGAAGCTTGCTCTAATACCAATGATAGAATCTCCAATTCTGTAACCGTAAATTGAACAGTAATATTGCGGTAAAAGGCAGAAACGAAGAAGACGATACAAATGAGGCACTTCGAGAGGCACTCAACTCTCCAGAACCCAAATTCCCAAAATCTAAAATCAGCCTCCTTATTTCCCCCTCCCTACTATTTATACTAACTTATGGGTCAGCCCAATATTATATGACATGGCCCAGAATACTTATTTATACAATACCAAACTTATTCAATATCAATCTATCACTATTATTATCATTATTCTCTACAGCCCAGGGCCCTATCAATGTGCTGACGTTTCATCCTCCCATTTACTCAGCTCACTTCTCTCCATATCTTGTTGAACCCTTGCATTAAATGCTATGCATGCCATTTCTGAATTTCCCATCAACGCGTTGGCCCCTGCTTAGTTTTTAAAAAAGCGCCTCAGCGCGAAGTGTGAGTAAGCGATGTGGAAATCGCATCACAGACTCCAGGCGCAGTTGAAACCTATAGGCGCACTACATTAGTTGCGTTTTACTGCATTTTGCGCATCATGGAGGCGGTCGGCTGTGGCCCTCCTCAGATAGGAATTGGTTATTTTTTTCGATTACTCTTGGCACTTCATATCCTAGTTCTAGAAATTGTGTACCTAGTATATGTTGATGGGGTAACCTTGCGAGACTCCATCAAACTCTTCTCTCTATTCTTACACTTCTCGCTATGCTTCCCCTGGCTTTCGCTCCTCTTCCGCTCCTCTGTATTCTTCGGCTCCTCCCCCTCGTAGTATGATGTTTTTCCCCTTTTCATCTTCCTTCGCTTTTTCTCTCAATTTTTTAAAGAAGCACATTGACTCATAATGTTTCGTTTGCCCAATTGCCCCCAATACTTTTTCCCTGGATCTACCACTATCCTTGTGGACTCACTGTGGGCAACAGACCGGCCTCATCAATGACACTGTCCAGTATGTTTGACGAGGTGCCATATCAAACGGGCAGCTGACTTTTAGCCTTTTAGGTCTTTCCTCATGTGATGGGTCATTCCAGGCAATAACACTGCTCGGTACTGCAAATGGCAAGCGTCTTCCTCTTCCCTTAGGATGGGCCCATGCTGTTGTTCGGGTGGCCCGCATATGCGGTCTGGCTCCCGTGCTGGGGTGGGGAGAACCCCGCAGGACCTGTCATACCGAATTTGGGCCTGGCCCATCCCCCAGGCATGCTCCACCCAATATCCCAACAGAACCTTTCCGCCCAATATCTCAACAGAACCTTTTCCGAGCTAGGTCCCATAGCAATTCTAGCTCATTCCTACTTTTAGTTCTTGACTTTTTGCTTTTACTATTGATGAGCAAATATGGATTTCTTGTTACTTTTGGTCTTGAGTCACTTACACGACGAAAATTAATTGGGAATTGTACTTTTGTACTGAAATTGGCATATTAAGTGGGTCAAAATGATTAATGGTGGTAAGGAAATCAGTCAGGCACCAAAGTTGCAAAAAAAAAACGTTGGGGGAAAAAACCACTCCCTGCATATTGAAATGTTTGCTACACTTTTCATTTTTGATGTATTTTAATTTTTGCTACACGTTTCCTTTTTGGTAAGCTTTCCCTTTAAAAATACTCAATTACCTTTACTTTTTCTACTTTTTATTTCTCTTTCATACTTTTCTACCATCTCTTCTACTTTTCCTACCCTATTGTAGCAAACATTTCATTATGGAGGGAGTAGGTCTGTTGCTACTTTTGGTCCTTTCTGGTCACTTCCAGTTAAAAAGTAAACCAGAGATATGGCGGAGGTTGACTGGTTAAGTGTATAGAAGGATCAATAGTGGCATTGAGTCTAGTGGTGGACCAAAAGTTCGAGTGACCTAATATTTGGGGGGCCAGAAGTGGACAGTTTTAGTGACATTCACAAGTATTTCAACATTGTCCTTGTCCTCTCAGTGGTTAAGTAATATTTTGATTTTTTTTTGTTTCATAAATCAGGCCCCGCTGTTTGTAGAAGGTTGGGATGAAGCACTCCACGAGATAGGGAAATTATCATTTGAGACAGTTCTCTCCCCTGGCAATGCAATTTCTGTGCTAAAAGCGGTTGAAAACATACCAGTACTGGTAGTTGCAGGTGCAGAAGATGCACTTGTGCCATTAAAATCTGTTCAAATAATGGTGTCAAAATTTGTAAATTCAGTAAGTCTTCGTTTAATCCTTATTGCCCACTAGCCACAAAATCCACTTCGCACTTTGTTTACAAATGAGTAGCAATTTAGTACTTCCTCCGCCCCCCTTATATTGTCCCGTTTTACCTTTTCGGAAAATCCCACTAAAATTGTCCCATACCATATTTGGTAAAGTTTGTGTGGTTCTAAACCATTCTTACTTTATTCTTACTTTATCAATTAAAATCAACCACACAAACCCACTTTTCTTAATCATCGTTCCACCCTCTTCCGTCCCAATAAAAGAGGGACGGAGGTAGTAATTAATAAGCAATCCAATAAAATCAAAAATAGTAAAACGCCTAAGTGTTCTTCACGTATTTATTTCACTTTCATAGGGGGTCTGTTTGCTCATCTATCTATGACAAATTTAACGTTCACACTAAGAATCACTATTGTCCTTGGTTAGTGTCTTTTTGAATATAATGTTTTGGAGGCTTTTGAACTTTAAAGGGGAATGATTTGGAGGGTTTAGTTGATATGACCGTTTAACGTTTCAATAACTTTTTATTCATTTTAAAAAACATTCTATTTATTAAGGAGCAAAGACACTCCAAAACCTTACATCCAAACAGACCGCAATCTCTACAGTTACTTGAGTACAGATTAGCCTATGCATGTTCATTAGTTCAAACGTATTATTTATGTGAATGTGTTTTGTTGATGATATACATTGCAGAGACTAGTCGCAATATCTGGTTGTGGACATCTTCCTCATGAGGAATGTCCCAAGGCTTTGCTTGCAGCTATGTCACCGTTCATAAGTAGAATATTAGAGGCACCAGAATCTTAACACGCACTACTGTTAGTGCAACCCTCATCCTCTTCAAGTTATGTTTCTCTATTGTTTGGGGAAAAGGCAGAGTTTGTTGGTCTGGGCTCCTGTTTCCCTTTAGTTTTTGTATTTATCCAAATCTTCAGTTCACTTGAAGAGGCAAAGTCCCAAGTTTTGTCTCTCCTTTTGGGCAAATTTTTTGATGATGATTAATATTAGGGCATTATGATGATTTTGTTTGTTTGTTTGTTTGATACTCTCTAGTTAAGGTTTGTTTTGTCCAAGCAAACACGTTCTATTGTTTGTCCACATGTAAATGGGAATCTCTCTGTACAGATGCAGAGCAGCAGAGGTCGTTCCGTCGTTTGAGCAGATCTTGTTGTAAACAGTGCTTCCTTCACATATTTGTTTCATCCTCTATCTCTCTTTTTCTCTCTGTTTAATTACATAACAACTTCCCCTATCAATAAGTTGGTGTGTCACTTGGTTAAATTTACACCCCTCTTCCCTAATTTATCTCTCTATTTCATGTTAAGACAAGATATGGTGGGTCTGATATAGTTCCTTCTCGCAGTAGTAGTAAATATTAATTGTTTAAAGAAGGGAAAATGGAAACTAATAATCCAACCTTTCAGCGGTCTTCTTTTAATAGTCCGATCTTTTCGTTATTCATAAATAATCCAACATTTGCACCTCATCTTCATTCATTGGTCCCCAAGCGGTTGATGTAGGGGTGGACTTGGGCTGGTTCGGGCCTGGGCCTGGACGGGCCTCGGGCCAGAAAACTAGGGCCCGAGCCCGAACCGCCGGTGGCCGGTTCCGGTTCCGGGCCAAACCGGGTCGGGCCGAACCGGTCCATATTTTTTTTTTTATTTTGGTTCTCCTATTTAACCCCCTACCCCTCCCCTCAACCCCAAACCACTCCAAACTACCTCAAATGGCCCAAAATACCTAATCCAACCCAAAACTTAAAAAAATTTCAAAAAGAAAAAAATAAAATAAAATCCGGCCCGGGCCCGAACCAGCCGGGCCGGTTCACCAAAAGCAGGGCCTGAGCCCGGACCGCCCATCACCCGGGCCGGGCCAAACCGAACCGCTGGACCCACCGGGCCCCAGGCCGGGCCGGGCCGGGCCAAACAGTAACCGGGCCGGGCCGGTTCCGGGTCGGGCCGCCCGGCCCGAGTCCACCCCTAGGTTGATGAACTGCTATTCCGAGTTATTTTCTTATCTCTGCAAACTATTAAAACATAAATTCCACCTTTTACAAAGATAATGTTTTGCAAAGATAAGAAAATAACTTTGAATAGCAGGTCATCAACCGGTCAGGGACCAGTGAATGAAGATGAGGTGCAAAGGTTGGATTATTCATGAATAACGAAAAGGTGGGACTATTAAAAGAAGACCGCTAGAAGCAGATTCAACATTTTATGGTGATATGGGCGGACCCAGAAGTTTACTCAAGGGGGGTGCAGATCATGTCGGGTTTGGGTCTGATATGTGTAGTTCACGTTTCTAGATTAATGCTTAAACTGCTGCTCAGTTAACCAGTGTTGATTTTGGGTGATGTACATTTGTGGTTTCTATGTCTGTTTTTTTAAACTTAGTATGATTCTAAAACTTGGAGGAGTTATGGGGTGGGGGTAGGGAAGATTCCACCAGTTTATTGAAGGAGAGGAGGGTGTATAATTGTATGAAGAGCAAGAGGATCAAATCAATGTCTACTTGAAAAAAAACAATTATGAAAGAGGAATTAGAAAATAACATAGGGGAAGTATGGCTGGACTCGGGCCGGTTCGGGCCCGGTTCGGGCCTGGGCCCGGCCGGGCCTCGGGCCAGAAAACTAGGGCCCGGGCCCGAACCGCCGGTGGGCGGTTCCGGTTCCGGTTCCGGGCCAAACCGGGCCGGGCCGGGCCGGGCCGAACCGGCCCACTTAATTTTTTTTTTTTTTTTGGTCTCCTATTTAATCCCCTACCCCTCCCCCTCAACCCCAAACCATCCCAAACCACCTCAAATGGCCCAAAATACCTAATCCAACCTAAAACTTAAAAAAATTTCAAAAAAAAAAAAAAAAAAATTAAAATCCGGCCCGGACCGGGCCCGAACCGGCCGGGCCGGTTCACCAAAACCTGGGCCCGGGCCCGAACCGCCCAGCAGCCGGGCCGGGCCGAACCGAACCGGTGGACCCACCGGGCCCCGGGCCGGGCCGGGCCTAACAGTAACCGGGCCGGGCCGGTTCCGGGCCGGGCCGCCCGGCCCGAGTCCAGCACTAAGGGGAAGTCAATGGCATCAAATTTCAAGTTCGTAAACGAGTAGGGTGTGCCGGTGTGGGCTATTTCCCTAGCTGATGTATTTTGCTGCATGGTTTGCTACTTTGTTAATGATCTCAAAAGTGATATAGTGTCTTTTTCCTTTGATCCAAAAAAGGTGGAATCTCCCACCCGAGGAGCCCTCCCACTCCGGCCCGAACCGGCCCGGAACCGCCGGCTACCCAAGCCGGTTCCGGTTCCATCATTCCCAAATAAAAGCCCGACTGGGCCTAGGCCCGAATCGGAACTGGCCCGGCTCGGGTCCATCCCTACATACACCTGTGCGCACCAAAGGTTCAGCCTTATTTCAGGTAATGTGACCTCCACCCGGTCGTTGCGAGGATTCGAACCTTGGTTCATTTATCCAAATCTCCTAGCACTTGATCAACTGAGCTACCTGTGCGGGTTGTTGTGCCGTTTTCCAAATGTGGGTGATGTATATATGTCCAGAACTCCAAATGTCCTTACAATAGTTAACGTAGTGTGTGGTGATTGCCTGGCTGACCTTTTAATTTGAATGGAATCGATCATTAGCTGGTTATTACTACAAAACATTAGAGTTGATAAGAGCAAATTGAGGAGATTTGGTTGTCTTAAGATATCAAATCTAGGGATGGACCCGGGCCGGTTCCGGTTCGGGTCTGGGCCCGGCCGGGCTTTTGTTTGGGAAGTGGGGAACCGGAACCGGCCCGGCCCGGAACCGCCGGTCACCCGGGCCGCCCGGGTGACCGGCGGTTCCGGGCCGGGCCGGTTTCCGGTTCAATGTTATATTTTTTTTTATTTTCTTTTGTTTTTCTAAATTATCCCCCCCCCCCCCCCCCCCCCCGCCCCCTTCACCCCAAACCCCCCAAAAACACCCAACCCTACCCGGTAGAAACCAAAAAAAATTGAAAAAACAAAAAAAAAACAAATTTGGCTCGAACCGGCCCTGCCGGTTCAACATTTTCAAGGCCCGAGCCCGAACCGGGAGTTGAGCGGTTCCGGTTGGCCTGAGCTGGCCCCTAGACCGGGTACCAGGTCGGGTCGGGTCGGGCCCAAACAGTACCGGTTCTGGGCCGGGCGGCCCGACCCGAGTCCACCCCTAATCAAATCGCCTTTGTTGTTGTGGATAAAAAAGGATTTACTATGGTAAATGCCGGTATGATTGGTGGCATAATTAATGGTGATTTTTGTCTTTGATGGGGATACCATCTTATAGTGTTAGGCCGGGCGTGTGACGTGCTTATAATTTACACACTTTTTAGGCTTAGTTTGTTAATAATTTTAGTCATTTAACTCTAGCAACAGCAGAGCCTAGCACAGTATAGGGAAAGGTTGGTGTGCGGGGGTAGGCATGGACTGGAACGGGACAGGACGGGTCGGGCCCAGGCGTGGTCTCGGGCGGGCTTCGGTTTTAAGGAATTCAGTCTTGATACCGCCTCGATTTGTACTGCTACCGTTTTCGGTACGGGCTACCTGGTTGGGCCTCGGCCCGGTCCCGGGTCTGGTCGGGCCCGATTTTTAGTTTTTTTTATTATTATTAATTCCACAAGTGTTATACATTAAAAATTAAATGTATATTTATTTGAAATATCAAGTACAATTGAGATTGAGAAAATTTTAAAACATTAAATATGCATTGAGAAAAATCTAAAAGTCAATCAGAATCTCCGACAGTGTGAGTTGTTGTTTCCTCCGCGAAGTGGCGGTCGGGGCCAATGCAAATTTCTTGAGTTCTACGCCGGGTCTTCAACCATTCGTGGAAGCAAATGAGCGTCTCAAAAGATTGTGCGCTCAATCTCGTTTTATAATCCATTAGGACGTTGCTGGCTAAGCTAAATGCTTGTTCCACGGCTACTATTGACACCGGCATTAATAGCATTTGCTTCACCATCTTTGATAAGATCGAGAACATTCATTCTTTGTCCTTCCATCATTTGAGAATGTCAAAGTCATCCCCTTCTTCATACTCACAAGGAAACGTTAGATGTAAAGAAAGCTTGTTAATCGGGCTTTGTGCAACAATGAGAGTTTTTTTTTTACAGGTTACCAAATGTAGATTTGAAAAATGATTTTCATTTAGATGAAGAAGTAGTTTGTTTCGGGGGAGGGGGTGCGTTACCATAATGTGCATGAAACTCATTAAATAATTGATGAAATAAGTTACTAACCTCGTTATATTGCTCTTTAGGATCTATGGCCTTGTCTTCGTACACAGGTAATGGATCGTAATAACAAGTATAATAATACTCTAAACAAGATTAAGAACAAGTTTGAAACGAGGATTAAGAACAAAGGCAATACCATATATAGGGGGAATTAAGGTATAATATTGAGGAAAGTGTCAAATGAGTATCTTAAATTGTATGTAGGAGAGTAAAGAGTACATTAATTTACAATTGAGACTCAGAAGTACATAAACTTGGGAACATGGTGTTAATTAAGTACAAATTTAAATTTAAACCTTAATTTGCCTGACGTGGCTAACGAATTCCTCATATAGCAAAATTAAACCCACACATCTGCTTACTAGTTACTAACTTACTACACATTATTAATTCCCAATCCCTAATTATTCTTCTCCAACTCGGTTGACGGTGGTGAACTGGGAGAGAGGAGTGTCGGCGTCTTTCCCTGCCTGAAGCCGTTGAGCCCTCAACATTCGCAGGGGACCAAGAGCACTCTTGAGGGGATGAGAATTCTGCAATTGTTAAATTTTGCTGCGGATTTGCGTGTGAATTTCACATGGCACCAATTGCTGAAGTGTGATTGTATGAACGTGCACTCTATCTAGATGTGTAAGCTCAAAAACAAAACAAAAATACCTAGGAGGAGAAGATGGAAAATCTAGAACTAAAGAACAAACCTTTTCCCTGAAATTTTCTTTCACATGACTCTAGGGTTAGATAGAAGGGAGATAGGTTGATGCTGATCTGAACTCCATCGTTTATTTATTAAAGAAACGGTAATTAATTGCCACATCAACTCTTTTTTTACATTAAACTCAAACTTGTACTAATTTGACACTAAAATCTTGAGTTTATGTACCTTTAAATCTCGATTACAATTTAATGTACTCTTTACGCTATTGTGTACAATTTAATGTACTCAGATGACACTTTTCTCGTATAATATTTTAAAAACTTTTATTTCATAAAATCACAAAAATCATGAACGTAAGGGGCACTGGAAAATTCAGAAAATGCACTGG